CTAAACGGTTCACCTGATATGAATGTAAATATCATCAAATTAAAGCTGACAGTCTGCACTTTAACCTCATAGTCATTGTATCATTTCAGCCAACACAACAACAAAATTGTCACTATCCAAAATAGTTTTGGACCTCACTGTAGATGTTAAAAACAGTCAACAATAAAATCAACATACTCACTGTATAGCCTTAATTTCACAACCACAAGCATCCATTTTCCATTAACCTAAATCTTGGCTAAATTCATTAGCAGCACTATGACTCCAATGCAGAAGAAAATCTGTTAACCTGCTCCAGTCCATAGACAAATGTCTAATACAAGTTAAAGCCTACACAAAATGTTTACTGGTGTGAACTTAAATGAATGATTTCAATATTTACAACGAGTAGCCTGGGGCCTGTTGCACAAAAGTAGAATTAAGACATCCGGGATAAATGACTCAGCTGAGCTCAATGAAGCCAAAACATGTGCGTCCAGGCTTAATTGGTTGCACAAAGACCAAGCCAGGATGAGCAGACACGGATTCATTAAGCCAGGTGAAACCAATCCTGGATAGGTGCGCGCTCACGGCTCACTCAAATAGACCCCGCCACAGATCACAGATTAACTGATTTACCATGGCAACTAGAGCCGCGTACTTTTCCCCGTCGGAAGCACAAATCCTCATGGAGGCATACGAGGAGGTAAAAGATATAATTAAGAAGAAAGGCAACACCGCCACAGTGATAAAGCAAAGAGAAAAAGCGTGGCAAAGTATTGCAGACCGCCTGAATGCGTAAGTAGTGCACAATTACACACTCACCGCTCCGCTGAAACATCACAATTACAATTCAAATATTTAATTCACATCTCCAAAAATGCAGTTGTACTGTAATTATGAAACGGTTAAATTTTTAATTGAAATGCACTGCAGATATGAGTGAAATTGTGTAAAGTAACTCCATCACACTGTATAAAGCTATGATAAATTTTTTGATATTTTTACTGAAAACAAGACAAAAATACCAAGTAATTTTTTGCAGTGTGACTCCATTAAATGTGTGTGTGTGTGTGTGTGTGTGTGTGTGTGTGTGTGTAGATTAAACATGAACGGGCCAAAACGGACATGGCAGCAGGTCAAAATCAAATACAAGAACATTCTGCAGAATGGTATGGTCCCTGACTAATATTTAACAAAGCACAAGCATATATTGTACCCAGAAGGTGCCTGCTCACACATTGTCTGTACTGTTTTAGCAGTGAAAAAGAATACCCACAGACAAGGCACGGGTGGTGGGTCACCAAAGGCTGACCTTACCCCAGCAGAGGACATGGCCTTGGAGCTAAATAAAGGCAGGCCCGTCTTAGAGGGGATCCCTGGGGGGAAAGAGACGAGCATAGGTTCCTCCCAAGATGCCACCCGCTTCATTCAAGGTATGTCCTTCCATCTCTACATGGGATACAACCACATTCATATTGAATCAATTTGGACTGTCTGACTTTGGTTTACCTATTGCCTTGCAGTGTCTGGCAGCACTGTGTTCCTGTTAGAGCCACCAGCACAAGCACCAGACGATGCTGATCCAGTGAGTACTCCATCAAAGGCATACTGTAGGCCTGGCATGTCTTGTCTACTAGCTTCAATATGAATCCGATTAAATGTGATAGGGTGAAGGCCCCAGTGCAGCAGCAACAGCACATGATGGAGACGATGATGAGGAGGAGACCATCTCTCTGGATTCCAGAAGGCATGAGGTATCATGTTAAGACTGTGAAAGTACTATTTACTCTACAATGGTGAGGAGTCCTCATCAAAATCAAAAAATCTAATTTCTTTTACAGGACCCAGATGCTATACAGTGGGAAAACCAGCCTGGCAACATAGTGCGTATTAATAAAAGGACACCACATCCTGCCAAATTCCAGCTGCGCTAATTGTATTGTGTTCACAGAGCTCACAAGCTATCAGAAAGTTGTATGGCAACCACCTCCGGCGCCAAATAGAACTGGCAGACATAGACATTCAGTACAAGAAGAAAAAGATGGAAAATCTTGCACTGGAGTCCGAAATAAAAAAGAGGACAATTAGGAAACTGGACCTTGAAATAAAAAAACTTGAGAGGGAGGTGAGATATGCCTTCAATGTACACTGTATGCTAACTGTAACACAAATGTATTAATCATTATTTTTCTTTCCTCCCCCAGCTCCAAGAAGATGACACAGCTCAAAATAAAAATTAGGTATATTCTCGTAAAGTCAAGTGAGCCATGACATATGAGCTCTTATTGTGAGCACACAGGACGGTGGCATCTTTCTAAGGTTTTTTTTATTTTCCCAGCAATCAGTACAACCAAGTCATCGTTATAAGGCATCGCCCTCTTTTGCCCACCCCCCCCAGCACCAGGTGTGGCCACTAGCCTATATGAAGGCCCAAAATTGTGTGTTCCTTTCTGCTCTGACAATGGCATGCCCATTCGTGCGAGATGTGGTGGATGAAGAAGCACTTGTGCTGAGGAGAGCCTTCAGGCGAGAAAGGGTCTTCAGGGACCGGTTGGACCCACTGGCCTTCCCTGATGACCATCTATATGAAAGATACAGGTTTTCTGCAGATGGCATCAGGTATCTATGCAGACTACTGGGTCCCAGGATTAAGCACCGCACTGCACGGAGCCATGCACTGAGTGTGGAGCAAATGGTTTGTGTGGCCTTGCGCTTTTTTGCTAGTGGAGCCTTCCTGTACTCAGTGGGGGATGCAGAACAGCTGAACAAGGCCACAATTTGCCGCACAATAAGGAGTGTGTGTCTGGCTATCAAAGCATTAGCAGATGTCTTCATCTCCTTCCCTGGCCACAGAAGACTCTGTGACATCAAAGAGGAGTTCTATAGGATTGCAGGTAAGAGGATCTACAAATTACAGGACAACTGTTAACACATAGTAGGATACTCATTACTTTGTGTGACAGGTTTCCCCAATGTCATTGGTGCAGTGGACTGCACACACATAAGGATAAAAGCCCCCTCAGGTGCCCATGAGGCCGATTTTGTGAATAGGAAATCCTTTCACAGCATTAATGTTCAGGTGAACATAACTTTTTGATATTGTCCATTGACGAACACTCTGCATTGCCAGTGATGTGCATTGATTGGTGTAATATTCCTCATCTTATGATTTCAGATGGTCTGCAATGCTGACTGTGTGATCAGCAATGTTGTGGCAAAATGGCCTGGCTCAGTCCATGACTCCAGAATCTTTCGGGCCTCTGAAATCTATCAGTGCCTATCACAAGGTAAGCCACACAACCCCTATTTATAACCATCATGGCTGTGTCAAGAATATCACTGTGTTTATGAGGTAGTAATGATGAGATTTTGTGTTGACAGGTGAATTCTCTGGTGTGTTGCTGGGAGACAGGGGGTATGGCTGCCAGCCTTTTCTCCTGACACCTTTCACAGACCCCCAGGAAGCACAGCAGGCCTACAACCATGCCCATGCCAGGACCAGGGCCAGAGTTGAAATGACCTTTGGCCTCCTGAAGGCACGCTTTCACTGCCTTCACAAATTAAGGGTCAGCCCTGTTAGGGCATGTGATATTACTGTGGCTTGTGCTGTCCTCCACAATGTGGCCTGCCTGAGGAAGGAGAGGGCCCCCAGAGTGCCACCAGCCATGGACTGGGACAATCCGGCAATCTTCCCTGATGACGACAGTGGTCGGCTGCTGAGGGACCAATATGTGTTGAATTATTTTAGTTAGTATGTGTGCTTTCAATTTTGGTTAAATATGTCCTGCGGTGGCAGAGGAATTTGGGTTTTTTTGGGTTCGTTTTTTTACGAATTTGGCCTCTTATGATGTTTGTGCGGTATACTGTGTGTAATACAAGGCTGCAGGGAGGCTACTGCATCCATTCATTTGTCTGTTTAGTTGATGTGTATGGATTTGTCCTGCATTTATTTTAGTGTGCAGACATGCAGGGTGTGTTATATACAGACCTTTGAATGTGTATGTATCATTTTGTATAATATGCTTGGATTCTGTGCTTTCCATCTTGTAGAGTCACTGTGACTTCAGTTTCGAAAGGAGCTGATGGTTTACCTGCTTTGTTTTGTCCTTATTCAATAAAGGAACATAATGTTACACATTGTGTTTTTATATTCATATGGAATGTGTATTTGTTTATATGACAGAGTACTAGGGCCACACTGAAGAAAAAGGATAAAGTCATAAATTTATGAGGCTGGTTCTTTCTGCAGAAAAGCTACATATTGTTTTTACAGTTTTGATACTTATGACAATGTGATACTTAATATTCTGGCACATCAGCATGTCTTTGTTTATGAAACCATACTGAAGTACAATTTCACGAAATGCCCCACATCTGTCATTTTAACAACTGTCCTCCTTTAAAACAACTGGTTACAATATTATGACTTGTGTTTTTTTTCCCCTCTGTGGCCCTAATATTCTATCATTTTATATATAGCCTTATAGTCTATGGGAAACTGTAAATTATCTAATGATAGCAACATCATCTAAAAATCATTTTTTATCCAAAATCATTGAAATTAATGATCACAAACGTTTAAATAATGACAGTGGGTCTAGTTATATGTGATAACAATGTATAGTGAGCAGTGAAATAACTATTGGTTTCCATTTGTGGTGACTGCTGACTGACATTAGGGATGAGATTAAATAGATCCTGGAATTTAGCCTGGTCTGGAGCAGGCTAGCTCCACAGAATAAATCTCCATGGTAATTTATACCATAACATATCCTCCTGCCCCCTATCCATCTTTAGTGCAACCGGATTACGGATCAATTGAGCCAGGATCACCAAGATATCCTGGCTTAATCCCTTATCCTAGTTTTGTGCAACAGGCCCCTAGTTTGCTATGCTTCCAATTGTTGCAGATGAATACTTTGTATTTTCTTCGTCAAGACCATATATTTGACTACCACTCTATTGTGTTGTTTGACAGGGAAGTGTTTCATCCCATAGTATAGTGGAGTGATGTTTACCAGTCTGGTAGGGTAGGAGTTGGTGGGGTTGTACTCACTGCCGTCTGTGGCTGGGGCTGTGTGGTCTCCGGGGGTGTGGCTGTCTGTGGGCACAGTGAGGGTGTGATGTAGTAGCCAAACTGTGCACAACTCGACCCGGCACTCCTGCAGCAGCAGCGAGTGGATCAGAGGAGCAACCAGGACAGGACAGCAGGGAATGAGGACAACTTAGGCTACTGTTGCTACTGAACAATGGGACAGTTCACTCCAGGAGGGTGGAATTCCACAAATACAGGCCTAAATGATTTTCCTTGATTTACAATCTCTTCAATACTCACACCATATATTATTCATTATTTGGAAAGGGGTTAAATACCTCTTGTTTGTCCAATAGAAGTAGCTGACAGTCGGTAACTATGCAGAAGTTGGGCTTCCATATGGCAGGCTCAGTGAAAGGCTGGCCGCAGGATATCCAGTTAATTGATAGGCTCTTCATATCTGCAAAACGTGTACAAACTAAAATACTATTACTAACAATAGCCTATCTGTACGTTTAAGCAAGTCCCTTTATTGAGAGTTGCTTGGCAAATCTAGGTGTTTTAGAAACCTCAGAATCTGTTTGAACTGCATGAACCTGTAGGAAAAAGTCAATTTTTGGTTCCCTTTGTCAATTACACACGCTGCACTGTTCATCAGTCTCTTCATTCACAAGACATTCCAATTTGTAAATCGCTCTGGATTAGAGCATCTGCTAAATGATGTAAATGTAAATGTATTGGAATGGATGAAAAATGTGTGCACATAAAAAAAAAAACATGTCAGCATCCCTGATGGTACAGATGTGACTCATGCGAGCTCTGATAAAGGGCAAACAATCAATGCATTTACTTGCACATATGACACAGAGGGCATCAAGACTTATCAAATCAAGGGGATCCTTCAATAACCCTCCACCTTTCGCAGTAGGACTGTGGGCTTGTTCTTCTGGGCTCATCACTGCTTTGGTACAGAATGGTTAGGTGACTCAAGTCCATCATGCACAGTAACTTAGCTACCGAGTTTTACTGTTATCATACTAAAATGAAGTTAATACTGAGGGTAATTATATTAAAGAATTAACTGTCTGGCATGGACCTGGGTGAAATAAACAGCAATATGGGACATAGGTGTATTTAGCCTTGAAGTAGACGTCTTCAAACATCTCATTTGATTGTCATTATGACTTTCAATCATTCACAACAGACCTAATCTGTCTGTTTCATGCCATTATGCTGCCCTCTAGAGCCACTGATGTTCCATGTTTAGAGAGCAAAGCTAGAGGTTGAAAAATTATTACAGTAAAAGACCTGGAGTCCTCACCTGTAACACTTCACACATGCTGCTCTGGAAAACCACCAGGCTTGGTTTTAGTAATGCTAAAGCCTTTTGTGAACAGATGTGGGTATGGTTTTTAGATCATGTACCATTTTACATTTGTTTTCATGTGTGTGAATCGGTTTCTTGGGCACTTTGCAGTTATCATGGGGTTACCTCATATGACATCTATCCAAGGAGCAAATACACACATCTCAAAAATGCTTTTAATTACAATTCAAAATACCAAATAAAGACTCACGAATGACAAATAAGGATGCACAATGCCCGCTGAGAGATGTCATTTCTAACAAGCATAGGAAAAAGGGGAAATGTATACAGTAAGTTCTCTATATACACAGTTCTGTGCATGTTACATGGTAAAACAACTATTCATGTAAAACACTGAACACAGTTTACCGTTGACATGTCACTATTCAAGAATCATCCCAAAAATATATTAAATGGAGACTCCATAGGATAGATATTATGAATCTACTCAAATAAACAGTTTGCTTTAGAGTGAATACAGTCATACTGTAATTTAAAGAAAAGTAAGTGCATAAATGGTTGCAAAATGTCAAACGGGAAAAATATTACAATTAGCTTCAAACTTTTCTTATTAATAATATAATGCATATAGCATGTGACTTCTGATCACACATTTCCGTAATAATCAATTAAAACTATTTGTAAATAATATTTGGTTATTTAGTAACATGAATTGAAAAAACAATACTTGCATAGTTTAAGATGTGTCAATAGTGCAATGAAGCAAAGGGGGTTATGCGCATAGAAATGTTAATAGGAAAGCGTAATTTATCTTTCATAATGTACTGATTTATTGAAATCTAATCATATTTATTTTCTGTATCATGTTCATTAGGCAGAAAAAGAAGGAAACAAAATGAAACGGAGGGACTACCTGGGCTTGTCAAATTAGTAGGCCTAAACACTCATTTTCGTTTTTCCACTGAGTGCCCTAAGGAACACGACCCAGCATTCACTGTCAGTGAAAAAGAGATCAACAGTCTGGCACAAAATATATCTATCCGCCTTGAGGTACACAGAAATATCGATGGATGGTAGGAATATGTAAAGAAATCTTTGGATATTGTAAGAATATAAACCAAGACTACCCCTTCAAGTCCATGATTAAAGGAATATTCTCATTGTAACTTTCTAGATTTTAAAATGTAAAAAAAGATCTTACAGTGTCTAAAAGTACTATGTTAAGCTCTCCATCCTCTACATTGCATTTCTGGAAAATACAAGTTTTGCATCTACTTAGCCAAACTACCTATGTCAGCATAAAGAACCGAAGGAAAACCAGGACTATACATTATATAAGGAGGTGCTTGCTGTGTTTGCCAGTGTTTCCCCTATATTCATTTAGCAGAAGCGGGCAGCCGCTGCTAAATCGTTGCCACCACTCCAAAAAATATTAAATTATACAGTGCATTCGGAAAGTATTCATACCCCTTGACGTTTTCCACATTTTGTTCTAAAATGGATTACATTTTCCCTCATCAAAATAAAAGAATCTCATAAATCTACACAAATGGCAAAGCAAAAAAAAGTATATAGAAATGTTTGCACATTTATTAAAAATAAAAAAAACAGAAATATCACATTTACATAAGTATTCAAACCCTTTACTCAGTACTTTGTTGAAGCACCTTTGGCAGGGATTACAGCCTCAAGTCTTCTTGTGTATGACGCTACAAGCTTGGCACAACTGTATTTGGGGAGTTTCTCCCATTCTTCTCTGCAGATCCTCTCGAGCTCTGTCAGGTTGGATGGGGAGCGTTGCTGCACAGCTGTTGTCAGGTCTCTCCAGAGATGTTTGATCGGGTTCAAGTCCGGGGTCTCTGGCTGGGCCACTCAAGGACATTCAGAGACTTGTCCCGAAGCCACTCCTGCGTTGTCTTGGTTGTGTACTTAGGGTTGTTGTACTGTTGGAAGAACCTTCGCCCCAGTCTGAGGTCCTGAGCGCTCTGGAGCAGGTTTTCATCAAGGATCTCTGTACTTTGCTCAGTTAATCTTTCCATCGATCCTGACGAGTCTCACAGTCCCTACCGCTGAAAAACATCCCCACAGAATGATGCTGACATCACCATGCTTCACCGTAGGGATGGTGCCAGGCAAATAGGTACACTGGGATAATACTAAAGAGTTAATCAGGGTGATATTTCCACAAATAGACAGGTATTTACCTTTCCATGGTAGCAAGATCTTATCTATTTTTGCTAACTTTCTATTAAAATGTATTGGAGTGAGATCATTTATTTCATTTGGGATATGTATTCAGAATATATCCACATCACCATCAGACCATTTTATTGGTAAACTACATATAGGTAAACTACAAATTGTATTTTTTTGTGATCCAATACAAACTACATTTATCATAGTTTGATCTCTGTACTTTGCTCCATTCATCTTTCCCTCGATCCTGTCTAGTCTCCCAGTCCCTGCCGCTGAATAACATCCCCACAGCATGATGCTGCAACTACAATGCTTCACCGTAGGGATGGTGCCAGGTTTCCTCCAGACGTGAGGCTTTGCATTGAGGCCAAAGAGTTCAATATTGGTTTAATCAGACCAGAGAATCTTGTTTTTCCATGGTTTGAGAGTCTTCAGGTGCCCTTTGGCAAACTCCAAGCAGGCTGTCATGTGCCTTTTACTAAGGAGTGGTTTCCGTCTGGCCACTCTACCATAAAGGCCTGATCGGTGGAGTGCTGCAGAGATGGTTGTCCTTCTGGAAGGTTCTCTCATCTCCACAGAGGAACTCTGGAGCTCTGTCAGAGTGACCATCGGGTCCTTGGTCATCTTCTTGACCAAGGCCATTCTCCCCCAATTGCTCAGTTTGGCCGGGCGGCCAGCTCTAGAAAGAGTCTTGGTGGTTCCAAACTTCTCTCATTTAAGAATGATGGAGGCCACTGTGTTCTTGGAGACCTTCAATGCTGCAGATATTTTTTTATACCCTTCCCGAGATCTGTGCCTCGACACAATCCTGTCGCGGAGCTCTACGGACAATTCCTTCGACCTCATGGCTTGGTTTTTACTCTGACATGCACTTTCAACTGTGGGACCTTATATAGATAGGTGTATGCCTTTCCAAATCATGTCCAATCAATTGAATTTACCACAGGTGGACTCCAATCAAGTTGTAGAAACATCTCAAGGATGATCAATGGAAACAGGATGCACCTGAGCTCAATTTCGAGTCTCATAGCAAAGGGTCTGAATACTTATGTAAATAAGGTATTTCAGTTTTTTGCCAAGTGCAAACATTTCTAAAAACCTGTTTTCACTTCTTCATTATGGGGTGCTGTGTATAGATTGATGAGGAAAGAATAAGGCTGTAACGTCACAAAATGTGGAAAAAGTCAAGGGGTCTGAATACTTTCCGAATGCATTGTGTGTGTATATAATATACACACACATACACTACTGGTCAAACGTTTTAGAACACCTACTCATTCAAGGGTTTTTCTTTATTTTTGTAGAATAATAGTGAAGACATCAAAACTATGAAATAACACATATGGAATCATGTAGTAACCAAAAAAGTGTTAAACAAATCAAAATATGTTATATTTGAGATTCTTCAAATAGCCACCCTTTGCCTTGATGACAGCTTTGCACACTCTTGGCATTCTCTCAACCAGCTTCATGAGGTAGTCAACTGGAATGCATTTCAATTAACATGTGTGCCTTCTTAAAAGTTAATTTGTGGAATTTAATGCATTTGAGCCAATCAGTTGTGTTGTGACAAGGTGGTGGTGGTGGAGGGAGGGGGAAGAAGATAGCCCTATTTGGTAAAAGACCAAGTCCATATTATGGCAAGAACAGCTCAAATAAGCAAAGAGAAACAGCAGTCCATCATTAATTTAAGACATTAAGGTCAGTCTATACGGAACATTTCAAGAACTTTTAAAGTTTCTTTAAGTGCAGTCGCAAAAACCATCAAGCGCTATGATGAAACTTGCTCTCATGAGGACCGCCACAGGAATGGAAGACCCAGAGTTACCTCTGCTGTAGAGGATAAGTTCATTAGAGTTACCAGCCTCAGAAATTGCAGCCCAAATAAATGCTTCACAGAGTTCAAGTAACAGACACATCTCAACATCAACTGTTCAGAGGAGACTGCGTGAATCAGGCCTTCATGGTCGAATTGCTGCAAAGAAACCACTACTAAAGGACACCAATAATAAGAAGAGAATTGCTTGGGCCAAGAAACACGAGCAATGGACATTAGACCGGTGGAAATCTGTCCTTTGGTCTGGAGTCCAAATTGGAGATTTTTGGTTCCAACCGCCGTGTCTTTGTGAGACGCGGTGTGGGTGAACGGATGATCTCCCACCGTAAAGCATGGACGAGGAGGTGTTATGGTGTGGGGGTGCTTTGCTGGTGACAGTGTCTGTGATTTATTTAGAGTTCAAGGCACACTTAACCAGCATGGCTATCACATTATTCTGCAGCAATATGCCATCCCATCTGGTTTGGGCTTAGTGGGACTATCATGTATTTTTCAACAATGACCCAACACACCTCCAGGCTGTGTAAGGGCTATTTTACCAAGAAGGAGAGTGATGGAATGCTGCATCAGATGACCTGTCCTCCACAATCCCCCGACCTCAACCAAATTGAGATGGTTTGGGATGAGTCGGACCGCAGAGTGAAGAAAAAGCAGCCAACAAGTGCTCAGCATATGTGGGAACTCCTTCAAGACTGTTGGAAAAGCATTCCAGGTGAAGCTGGTTAAGAGAATGCCAAGAGTGTGCAAAACTGTCATCAAGGCAAAGGGTGGCTATTTGAAGAATCTCAAATATAAAATATATTTTGATTTGTTTAACACTTTCTTGGTTACTACATGATTACATGTGTGTTATTTCATAGTTTTGATGTCTTCACTATTATTCTACATTGTAGAAAATAGTAAAAACCCTTGAATGAGTAGATGTTCTAAAACCTTTGACCGGTAGTGTATATGGGGGGAGGGGGGCTGGTAAAACGTTTTCAGTGTAAACTTAAACGACTAAAAACAGATATAAAGTATATAGAAAAGATAATGGAGCTATATTTATAAGATCATCTTTGAGATCCAACAACCACCTAAATAAAAACTAGACAGTCAGGTAGAATAAAACATTTAATGGGGACCCCATTGATTTTGTATGTTTGAGTCACTCAGATAGCATAAGAACACGGCATAAGCCAAGGCAAAATGTTTAGAATTTAGGGACACATAGCCCATTTTAGTAGTGCTCTTTCAACAGTTTTGCTCCCATCCTTTAGAATCAGTGGTATTGTTCTTTCTTGGAACTCTCAGCCAACTCTTTCGTAATCTTTACCATCACAAACCTTCTACTCAAACTAGCATCCGGCACACAGTTTTTTAGGCTGTGTTACTATTCAAGATGCTCAAGAGGACGCTACCAAATTGGTTCAATATACCCCAAAAAATTACGTACTCAATCTTTACGTTTCTGTTCAATACTTGAAATGTTTTCCGGTTGAATTACAAATGAAAGTTTTTTTTTTTTTTTTTTTTTTTTTTTTTTAAACAGTTTAGCTATGGGGGAAGAGAAACTTACGACCATTTTTAACTTGTAATATTATATACTGAAATAGAGATAGTACTGTAGAGCAAGAGAAAGTAACATGAAAAATTAAATGAGTACAACTAGGTAGGCCTTGCTAGGCCGATCTTGTCTATTACTCCCCCTTCCTCTTCCTGCTTACTGCAGCAGCCAGCCAGTCTGGCCGTCTGGGTCAGTAGGGCGTGGTGCCCTCCCACTCCACCAGATACTGCACCTTCCCCTCCGGCGTGACCCGGCGGGCCAGCACCTGGTACTTCTCTCCGCAGGTGAGCCGCCCTGCCGCCCCAAAGTAGCTGGTGATGGACGACTTGAGGTGGGAGAGGGAGGAGTCATCCTCGCTGATGCTGTCGAAGGTGTGGCTGTCGATCGCGTTGTCCAGCATCGCGGAGGCGGCCTCCTCTCCTGGTAGGCTCAGCTCCATGGGGCTCAGCTCGCTCTCCACCACCTCCTTTTTAGTGGCCAGCACCGTGTAGTTAGAGGTGGGCAGCTTCCTCTTACGACTGCCAACATTCTTCCTGCAACAAGTTAGAATAACAGGGGTTCATTAGGGCATGCAGCAAAAAACGTTTGGGAACACTTGATTTGGATAATCCATCTGTAGACGCTCTACAGCAGGGTTTCCCAACCCTCGCCTCCCCCCAGACGTTTCAAATTTTTGTTTTAACCCTAAACTGGCACACCTGATTAAATTAGTCAAAGGCTTGATGATTAGTTGACTAATTGAAATCAGGTGTGCCAGTTTAGGGTTAAAACAAAAACTCTGAAACGTCGGGGGGGAAACCGAGGAGAGTTGGGAAACCCTGCGCTACAGACTATCAGTAACATTTCAACTAACCCTAACGCTTATCTTAACCCTTACTCTAAACCTAACAGTAACCTTAGCAAGCAGTTGCTATTCAACAGATGGTCATACTATCTGTAGAGGATCTGTTTGGGAAACCCTGTCTTATTGGACAAGTCCAGTTAGTCCCTCCCTCTTTCAGTCTGTTTTATTCCATTTGATGCCTAATGAACGTCATGACCCTGACATCAGCAACCTATTGAAACAAAAGTAACGACAGTTTCCTGAATTTACTGCTTTGTTGTGCCACCAGTCATACCTTTGTGGAGTCAAACACTTTTGTTCAACTGGACATTGGACACCTACTGCGATTACAAAGCAAGGTGAAGGAAGCATGGAAAGGTCAGAGATAGCCAGACTTGTAAAATGGGCTAAGGAACAGAAGTTGGGTTTTTGAGAAAAGCCATCAGTGCATGCTCTGTAAGCAATGCAGCGGATGAACGTGCGGCATGAGCGTGGTGAACGGATAGATGTGATTATGGACAACGAGGAAGAAGGAGAAGAGCCGAGTGTGGTGGGAAGATGTGTGTTGAGGAAGAATGGCGTCAGACATGATAAAAGAATAGTCTGGACCAATAGGAGTGACATTTTTGGAGAAAGTGGACCCTTGCCTTTTGGTGGATCCATTTGTGGTTTCAGGGTGGGTGAGAAAGGAGTTGGAGGCAGTTGAATCAGTGAAGGTAACATGTAGTGGACTTGTGATATTTGGTTGTATTTCTTCTGACCAGAGGGAGCAGGCGCTCCTTGTCACGCAACTTGGGTCAAGACCTGTTTCTTGCTTTACTGTTAGGAACAGGGCAACATTGACAGTTTTTTTTTTTTTTTTGGGTAGCGTTAAGTGTGGAGGTGGAGCAATTGAAGTTGAAAATTCCTGGTGTTTGTGACGCCCGCTGTTTGGTGCGACGCAGACATGGTGGGGAGCATGGTGAAACAGGAGTCATTGTCAGTCCTTTTGAGTTTTGAGTTTGTCTTTACCTTACAAAGTTATATTAGGATATATCAGTTAACCTGTTCGAGCTTTTGTGCAGAATCCACTGTGCTGTTTCAGGTGCAACGTTTCTGGTCATGTTGCAGCAGTGTGTAGGAGGCAGATTCCAAAATGTGGGAAGTGTGCAGGAGGGCATGGGACAGAGAATTGTGTAGTTTCGGTTGATAAAGTTGTGTGTGTCAACTGTAAGGGTGTTCATGTTGCTGGGGATCGGAAGTGTCCGGTGCAGGTTGAAGTGGCCAGAGTCAGAGCAGTGCAGAGAGTTTCGTATGCTGAGGCAGTAAAGAAAGTGGAGGAGGATGGGTCAAGGGTGAGGAATCCTGAGAGGATCCCAGTGAGTAGTAGAAGATTTGTACCAGCACAGAGGGATAGGCCAACGAGTGAGTTGTGCTTCAGTAAAGGTTGGCCTTCTTAGCGTTTATAGCAATGGTTATCAAATGTACCGCAGAAATGGAACGTAAATCACAGAGAATAGATGTTGTGGTGGCAGCTGCAGAGAAGTATTTGGGTATACGAGATTTCACTTCAGAAGAGTTACAGGGTGTGTTGAAGGGTGATGTCCCGTCCTCCCACGCCGTTGCCATGGTGCAGGAGCAGATAGGGTCAAAGTAGTGGGTTTTAATGAGTGTAAGTGGCAGCTGCAGAGAAGTGCCTGGGTGTGCGAGATTTTACTGCAGAAGAGTTAATGGGGTGGTGATTAATTAAATAGTGGTATATAGGTGTAGGGTTAGTTGGTGGTGCAATAATGAAGAGAATGTAATGTAGGTTGGCCGTGACTGGCCTCACACGTTAGTACAGTAGGTGGTGGTGCATGCACCTTTAAGTTGGATGCGATCCGCCAACCCAATCCCTAAGAAGAAGACTGCGATTATGAACATGACTTGGATCAGCCACCAGGGGTAGCTGTGGTCTGCTACATGATTTTCCCCTCCATCTGTCGTTTTCATGCCCAATAACTGTGTGTGTTGCTTTTACACTTCCTCCTCAATGGCACACTTAAAGAGCGACTGCCTTTAAAAAGCAACAAATCCCTTTGAAAATGGCCTATGTGGAATCGATATGAGACAGAAAGAGTTATTATAGTGTCAAAATTGACTACAAAGTGTAAATAGGATACATTTGGTCATAAAGTCAGTCTCATCTAAATCGGAGTTTGGAACATCTATGCGTCACAACGAGTCAATGAAGGTTGGGTTTTGATTTGACGATGTCCATTTGCTCACGAACATGGGGTGAACAGCTACGGTGATTGCTCTCTATCCAATAGCATAGACAGTGAGACAGACCTGCCCAGCAGCTCCGACTTTGTTTACATAAGACAAAGAAATGTTTTACTTGAGAATTGTGCAACTAAAACATCCTTGGCAAATACGTCAAAATTATTTACAGATTTCTTGAGTTATCTTAAGATTCATTCTTATTTCCCCCACACACGCCCTCTCTAGAGTATCATGCAGAGAATGTTAATGAGGAGAAGCCACATCTAAAAAATTAAACAGACTAAAGAAGAGGGATAAAATATCAGAGGTAGAGGGGGAATAAGTGATAGTGAGGTGAAATGATGCACCCCGTGTCTGGTAGTTTCCCCAATTCTTTACACTCTGAACATGTCATAGTTAGCCTCAATTATAAGCCTCACATTCTAAACGCTGGGTTGAAATCTCAAACATTCAAATAATCAAATTGGTGTCACTGGAGACAACACTGTCCACTCTATAGCATAAACCAGAAGTAGATGAACATGTACTTATTTTACTGTGTGTGTGTGTGTGTGTGTGTGTGTGTGTGTGTGTGTGTGTGTGTAGGCAGAGTACCAGAGAGGAAACGGGCAGGGTAGAGTAACATCAGTGTAAACATCATCATCACAATAAGTCCTCTCTCTCAGGGCTCTATTTGAACAAACCAAACGCAGTGGTAAATCTAAGCACTGGAAGTAGCGTTATAGGTCCTGTGTCAGAAATGTTTTAACTATTTTCACAGCCGTAATTATGAACACAATAGCTGGCGGTGGCGCGAAAGGGCTGGGTTTTGATGAATAAACAGCTGTAGTTGTGACAAGGGCTTGGCCACTCACTGGCCAATATTTGCGGTCCATAGGCTGAATACTGCATGCGTTTGTCTCAAGCTCTGTAGGTTATTGTCATCAACTTCAATTCGGCTGGGGGCATGGGAAAATTCTCGTCCAGGTCCATTGTGGATTGATACTACAATTTATTAAATAGCATAGGCTACAGTAATGAGTAATAGCAAAAGTATGTTTGGAGTGTTGGCAGTCAACATTGTAATTGGCTTCAATGAGCCTAGCCTACATATCTTTACGCATCGCACTTGTATGCGTAAATTGTATTGTATGTGAGGCATGTTCTCAATAAGCAGAATTTGGCTTAGGTCTACCGTTGAGACTGCATTATAGGACTGAATCATTTCAATACGTTTGGATGAGCGAGTCTTTCGTAAACGGATGAGATGTGCTCTTTGGAAATGGGGATGGCTACTTTTATAGATAGGCTACTTTGCAAGGCCAGGATAAAAAAGACACAATGCATTGCTGTTAGGCTTCTTTTGGCTAATGGCCAGAATAAAAAGATGTACCTATCTGATGCTGGTAAACCAGCCATGATTAAGGGGAGGGTAGGCTATGCTTGGTTTTGAAACTAAATTAAACGAAATAGGGGGAAACCAATTGTGTTTTATGTTTCTATGGGTGTTTTCTCTCCTTCCATGGGCTCCGTGTGTCATGGCTGGATAGATTGTGCTTCCGCTCTCAAAATCCATGCTATTATCAACTGCGTTACCATTAAGACCTGCTTTTTGTGGGTCTTAAAACTTTCCATTAGCGCTGCATGAAATTAAATAATACCACCCCTCCCACCTCAGGGCAAGCGAGCTGATGTTAGACAGGTAAATTAGCGAACCTGGCGTTAGTACTGGAAAAAATGGCAGTTTTTACATGACGAAATTGCAAACATGCGCTTGACACTTGCGCCTCCTTAGCGCCAGCTGAAAATAGAGCCACAGGAGATGTCAGCAGCGCCCCCGGGACGCCCACCAGTAGGACTTTCAGTCATGAAACAAAACACAGTAAAGGCAAAGAAACCTAGCATAGTGTCAATACACTCTGAATGTCAGAGGAGCCAGCACTGAGTGTTGCAAAATAAAGCCAGTCAGTTACGGAGCCCAGGGGTGTTCGCAGATATGAGGAGGGGTGGTGTGTTCACAGTGTTCAAATAATGCTGTCATCGGGGGTTTGTGAATGTGGATATAGTGAGTGTATAGTCACTTCCATTGCTTAGTTCCAACCAAGTTTAAGCAAATACAGGAGCCAACCACATTAAATAATCCATACTTCTTCTTGTGTGCTGTCAAACAAGGTTGGCTCTCCTCAACTCCTCACATAGGACCATGTTCAAGAGCTTGGAAAGCGTAGGAGATAAAATCTCATCTGACAGCCCGGGTTGCAGCGGTTCCAGTCGGGGGTCTTATCGATCGGTTTGCAACACATTCCACACGGTGGAGCAAAATAAGGCCAACACAATGAACAATCTGCAGAGGTAACCGCGTGTGAGGGAGTTACCCTTTTCTAACAATAAAAGTCTTGGTGACTATCGTACTGTACCTGAAGTCGTAGGAGACACTGGTGGTGGCGGATCCAGAGGTGCTGGCAGCGTCTGTGGAGTCCAGGTCCAGACTGAAGGTCTGTCCTGAGCTGGTACTGAGGAGTAAACAACATCAACTCCGTTCAAACGCTGGAAATATGGCGTACACATTCAAGTGCTAATCAGAGGATTCTGTGGCCCCTGGACCAGACAGAATAGCCATAGCCTTTATGGTCCTATTCCTAACCTCACAAAGGAAAATTGACTTTGTTACCATGGCACCTCTCCCTCACTCTGTGACTTGAATTTGCAAGTCACTGTTCTGAGCCCATATAATAAAAGAGCCTGCATGCTAAAGGTGTGTGTGTGTGTGAGAGAGAGAGAGAGAAAGTACTATATCTAGCTAATGGAAGGAAGTTAATGTAATGCTTCAAAGCTCCCACAGAATATTTTAGCTGTGCACATCCTCCAGCTCAGTTCAGGTGCTACAGAGTTATGACCAAGCCTATTCCACTCCTCCCATTCCGACAGTGTTAGTCCACTTTTTGGCGTTGCACCAGCTATTCCCCATCTCTTGATTCTCCTCTAAGAAAGCTTGGTTCTCAACAGTCCCCAAAGTGTTTGTCTTTCTTTGATTATTCAGCGCTGTTCGGGAGATGATAACCTTTACAGGAAAGTGTAATTAAATCTCTTCGTTCGACACATTGACGAAAATCATCAGAGGGGTGACAAAACAAACACTGCCAGAGATTGTCTTTCAAAGAGAAATGCATGTAAATGAAGTAGATTGTTAGGGCCTTGAAAATAATTGCATTCAATCGAAGGCAATGAAGTCAATGTCAAATGTGTGCAGTAGTACAGGGTTCATTGGAAATGAGCATCATCATCATCATCATCATGTACTGTAGGTCAATGTCTAAACAAACATTTTCAAAATTACACCATTAGAGCTGGTTTCCAAGACACAGATTAAACCTAGTCCTAGATTTAAAATAACTTTAAATTGATAAAAACTCAATTGAACATGCTTCTTAATCCAGGACTAGTCTTAATCTGTGTCAGGGAAACTGGCCCTTAGTATCCAAACTATTTACCTTTTGAGGCTTTGTAACTCGTCCAATGTGAAGTCAAAGATGTTGGCCATGTGATGGTTGGTGCTCCAGGCTGAGGTCAGGTCATTCTACATAACAAATCACACACGTTGGTATCATAGTACTCAGCCAGTGTCATGAACAGACAGTCATCAACATCATTGTCTCCATCATTGTCTCCATCATCATCATCATCCTTGTCTTCATCACTACTGTTTATATGCTACATGCCAGAGATCAACTAGATTCAGCCGCGGGCTGATTTTCTTCTTTCTTAAGCGGATGATCTGGGGGCCGGAACATAGTTAATAATACTTTTTTTTCGACTGCGAATTGACCGCAAGAAGCCCAAACAGATATAATATTTGACTAAATCATAATTATTTCAAACAGGCTTGGACGGTATACCATATACCGGGGTATTTGGAAAAATTCACGGGTTGGTTTTTCAATACCGTGAATACAGTCAAACACGATTTACTTTTTTATACATCTTTATTTATTTAGGGGTAGATCAGCTTTAATATTGCAGATAGATTGTGGCTTCCATTAATGTAATTGTCTGCATAATTTCCAATCTCCCATATATATATATATATATAAAATATATATATTTTTGGTACATATTTTCCTTTATCATTTCCCCCTAACCGTACCATCCCTCCCCTAATTGGAATAAACTAATGGACAACAACACTTAGGCTTCTACTTCCAGCTTATACATACTATATAGATTTTACGGACACAGTATTTTACAATAGTTATCTTTTGTTTGTTTTTAGTCCCATCCTTCAGCTACCCTCCCTATCACTGAGACGATCCAGTTTCCATTTGCCATATATTTTTCAACTTTGCGGTTTCACAAAAGTTCTAAACATTAACACTACTGTTCAAAAGTTTGGGGTCACTTAGAAATGTCCTTGTTTTTGAAAGAAAAGCAATTTTTTTGTCCATTAAAATAACATCAAATTGATCAGAAATACAGTGTAGACATTGTTAATGTTGTTAATGGCTATTGTAGCTGGAAACGGCTGATTTTTTATGGAATATCTACATAGGCGTACAGAGGCCCATTATCAGAAACCATCAGTCCTGTGTTCCAATGGCACGTTGTGTTTGCTAATCCAAGTTTATAATTTTTTAAAGGCTAATTGATCATTAGAAAACCCTTTTGCAATTATGTTAGCACAGCTGAAAACAGTTGTGCTGATTAAAGAAGCAATAAAACTGGCCTTCTTGAGACTAGCTGAGTATCTGGGGGATCAGCAATTGTGGGTTCGATTACAGGCTCAAAATGGCCAGAAACAAAGAACTTTCATCTGAAACTCGTCAGTCTATTCTTGTTCTGAGAAATGAAGGCTATTCCATGCGAGAAATTGCCAAGAAAATGAAGATCTCGTACATCGCTGTGTACTACTCCCTTCACAGAACAGAACAAACTGGCTCTAACCAGAATAGAAAGAGGAGTGGGAGGCCCCGGTGCACCAAAACACCAGTCTCAACGTCAACAGTGAAGAGGCGACTCCGGGATGCTGACCTTCTAGGCAGAGTTGCAAAAAAAAGCCATATCTCAGACTGCCCATCTTAATCTTTTCTTTTTATTGGCCAGTCTGAGATCCCGGAGTTGCCTCTTCACTGTTGACGTTGAGACTGGTGTTTTGCGGGTACTATTTAATGAAGCTGCCAGTTAAAGACCTGTGAGGCATCTGTTTCTCAAACTAGACACTAATGTATTTGGATCATTCAGGGTAGGTGAAACAGCAGAAAGGTGGTTCGATGTGAGATGTTTTGAGAATGAGGGAGGATCTTGTGACAATCCGAGAACTCACATTGGGAATGGCGTCCTCCAGCAGCCATTTTGACCTTTTCTTCCTCCTTTTCTCTGCCGGGAGAGAGCTAAAGAGAAAACGTTCACTTTCTGATCAAACAATATAATTATTGGGTGACAATTTGACACAGCCTTATAGCATAATTTAACATCGATCAACACTTTCTGACTGAGCCAAGATAGGCCTTGTAGAAATTTAACAGAAACCTCACTGAAATACATGCATATCCAGCTTTTCCCGGAAAACCAAAATATCAGCATATCACTACGCCGTGAAATACCTGTTCCTGTCTGCGCCTTTCTTTCGTCCTCTCCATCCATCGTTTTGGGACCTCTCGGGAAAGAGTTTGGAGGGAGGGTTGGGGGGAACGCGGGTCCTCAGGCGGAAGATGCATTTCCTCTTCTTGATCTCCTTCCCACAAAGAAACCTAGAGAAAAACAGAGGGGGTGAGAAGTTCATGGTCTGGTGAAGGAGGTGTGATGTCAACAAATACACCTTCAGCCAAGTAACATGTTTGTTGTAACAAATACTGTTTGACCAGAACAAAAAGTAAACAACTTACTGAATGTTGGTGGCCATACTATATTATTGTTAACTGGACATGAAAAATACATTGGCAGATTCAGTATATGCTGTATTTAAGCTTGCAGTACATGTATGCTGTTGTTGTTCATGTAGTACATCTGTGGAGGAGGAGTTTTGTCAAACCTAACACTTATCGCAAGACTCTAGATGGGATTTCCAATTAAATAGCAGTTTTATAATTAATTATCTAAATACAACAGAGAGAGATGTCTTACTTGCTCTTGTAGTTGTTCAGAGCATCAAGGAGATATTGGCCTCTTTCTGTTGGAGGAGTATTGGAGAGCTGTGGGGAATATCAAAATGTCAGTCTGATGCAATTGGCTTGAAAAAAGAGACAACATCTTTGGAAAATATTGTAGATTTTTCACGAGATGGCATTAATCAATTTCCTATCCGGATTCCTATTCAGAATTCAGACAGGATTTAATGTGGCGTTTCTAACCTTGCCCAAATGGAAATGCTCCCAGTTGTTGCTGACAAAGTTGAGGATTTCCTCCAGCTCAAAGTACTTCTTCTTATTCTGGACTCCCAGGTTGTAAAGAGCCAAGTGCACCACGTCCACCCTGGATAAGAAACCAGGGACAATCAGTGAGCTCAATATAGAGATGAAATGAGAGGGGATAAAAGGTACGTGTGTTCAACAAAATCCAGTCCCTCCAGGATTCCGCGATTGCAATTTTATTCCGCAAATCAACAATTCCCCGCATATTATGCAATGGCTTGCACATTTGACCAATCACTGCACTATTTCTACTTAAAAACAGTCAAATCATCGCAATATTATTGCATAAAACTGGACCATCACTGCAGTACAAAAACAGGGCTTGTAATTTCAACAAATCTGGACACATTTACCGCATAATATTAGGGATGTGCATCTCTCCTTACAAGCACGATTCGATACATGGTCTCCGACAAAGGAATTATACTTTTAGTTTGAAACAATTCGGTGTGATTTGATTTGATTAGTGGAACAAATCGATGCGATTCGGTTTGATTCGATGAACTAACAATTGTTGCATAAACACATTCATTTTCCATTCTAAATTAATATCTGATACTGATGGACTCAGGAGCTGAGCTGGATCTGTCGGAGCTGATTTCTCTAAGCTGAGTGGCCTGTGTCTGTGTGTGTGTATGTGTGTGTGTGTCTCTCTGTGTGTGTGTGTGTGTGTGTGTGTGTGTGTGAATTATGGAATTTTGTAGTGTGTGAACTGAACCATAGGGCAAACTGAGCCTCTACCACTATTAGATTGGTGGGGGTGCAATTTATGCTTTTTATCCAAAGTCCTCATCACCCACTGATTAATTTGTCATACAGCCGATTAAACTGTTTTGAGTTAGTAATATGTCAATATTTATCTTTAGAAATTAGCGATGACACAGCTTTAGATTTCACCCCAGTGTCAAAGGCGAATGGTTCTTCTCCCTTTCCGACCAGTGTGGCTCGCAAAAATTATTGCTGTCCTTGTTATGAAATTACACATTTACCCTGTTCATGTAAAAATGACCAAATGCAGTGACTGTTTAAAGCAGAACTTCCAAAAATATTTTGTATGGTGAACCTGGCAATCGAAAAGCCCCAATCAGCATTTAGATGTGCAATCAGCAAGATGTGAGTTGTGTCCACTCCGGTAGCCTACACAGCTCCGCCGGTAAAACACACATTTTCTACAGCGCATTTGGTAACAATGACCCAGCAAATTACATTGGTTGTCCCTCAATTAATAAAGCCTATGATTTAATAATGCGAAAGCCATTTTACAAACATCTGAATGCTGAATGTGCCGCGCAGATGTAGCCTATGAATATTAGAACAGGTATATGGTAGACCTACCAGCGCGAGCAGCTGCATCTCCAGTACTGTGCGCAGAGTTGTTATCTGACTTATAGATCAATGTCATACGCAGTTACATGCATACAAATTTGATAGGCTGAAGGAGAGGATGCATCAATTCAGTCACAACAGATTAGAGGTAGACTATATGACAAAAAGTACAGTATGTTAGCACCTGCTCGTCGAACATCTCATTGCAAAATCATGGGCATTAATATGGAGTTGGTCCCCCTTTGCTGCTATAAGAGCCTCCACTCTTCTGGGAAGGTTTCCACTAGATGTTGGAACATTGCTGCGGGGACTTGCTTCCATTCAGTCACAAGAGCATTAGTGAGGTCGGGCACTGATGCTGGGCAATTAGGCCTGACTCGCAGTCGGCGTTCCAATTCATCCCAAAGGTGTTCGATGGCGTTGAGGTCAGGGCTCTGTGCAGGCCAGTCAAGTTCTTCCACGCCGATCTCAACAAACCATTTCTGAATGAACCTCGCTTTCTGCATAGGGGCATTGTCATGCTGAAACAGGAAAGGGCCTTCCCCAAACTGTTGCCACAAAGTTAGAAGTACAGAATCATCTAGAATGTCATTGTTTGCTGTAGCGTTGATTTTCCTTCACTGGAACTAAGGGGCCTAGACCGAACCATGAAAAACAGCCCCAGACCATTATTCCTCCTACACCTAACTTTACTGTTGGCACTATGCATTCGGGCAGGTAGCGTTCTCCTGGCATCCGCCAAACCCAGATTCTTCCGTCGGACTGCCAGATGGTGAAGCGTGATTCATCACTCCAGAGAACGCGTTTCCACTGCTCGAGAGTCCAATGGCGGCGAGCCTTACACCACTCCAGCCGAAGCTTGGCATTGCGCATGGTGATCTTAAGCTTGTGTGTGGCTGCTCGGCCACGGAAACCAATTTCATGAAGCTCCCGACGAACAGTTATTGTGCTGATGTTGCTTCCAGAGGCAGTTTGGAACTCAATAGTGAGTGTTGCAACAGAGGACAGATGATTTTTCCGTTCTACGCGCTTCAGCACTCGGCGGTCCCGTTCTGTGAGCTTGTGTGGCCTACCACTTCGCGGCTGAGCCGTTGTTGCTCCTAGACGTTTCCACTTCACAATAACAGCACTTACAGTTGACCGGGGCAACTCTAGCAGGGCACACATTTGACGAACTGACTTGTTGGAAAGGTGGCATCCTATGACGGTGCCACGTTGAAAGTCACTGAGCACTTCAGTACAGGCCATTCTACTGCCAATATTTGTCTATGGCGATTGCATGGCTGTGTGCTCGATTTTATACACCTGTCAGCAACGGGTGTGGATGAAATAGCCGAATCCACTAATTTGGCCATGTAGTGTATTTTCGGAATACTTACAGTGGGGAGAACAAGTATTTGATACACTGCCGATTTTGCAGGTTTTGCTACTTACAAAGCATGTAGAGGTCTGTAAGTTTTATCATAGGTACACTTCAACTGTGAGAGACGGAATCTAAAACAAAAATCCAGAAAATCACATTGCATGATTTTTAAGTAATTAATTTGCATTTTATTGCATGACATAAGTATTTGATCACCTACCAACCAGTAAGAATTCCATCTCTCACAGACCTGTTAGTTTTTCTTTAAGAAGCCCTCCTGTTCTCCACTCATTACCTGTATTAACTGCACCTGTTTGAACTCGTTACCTGTATAAAAGACACCTGTCCACACACTCAATCAAACAGACTCCAACCTCTCCACAATGGCCAAGACCAGAGAGCTGTGTAAGGACATCAGGGATAAAATTGTAGACCTGCACAAGGCTGGGATGGGCTACAGGAATATAGGCAAGCAGCTTGGTGAGAAGGCAACAACTGTTGGCGCAATTATTAGAAAATGGAAGAAGTTCAAGATGACGGTCAATCACCCTCGGTCTGGGGCTCCATGCAAGATCTCACCTCGTGGGGCATCAATGATCATGAGGAAGGTGAGGGATCAGCCCAGAACTACACGGCAGGACCTGGTCAATGACCTGAAGAGAGCTGGGACCACATTCTCAAAGAAAACCATTAGTAACACACTACACCGTCATGGATTAAAATCCTACAGCGCACGCAAGGTCCCCCTGCTCAAGCCAGCGCATGTCCAGGCCCGTCTGAAGTTTGCCAATGACCATCTGCATGATCCAGAGGAGGAATGGGAGAAGGTCATGTGGTCTGATGAGACAAAAATATAGCTTTTTGGTCTAAACTCCACTCGCCGTGTTTGGAGGAAGAAGAAGGATGAGTACAACCCCAAGAACACCATCCCAACCGTGAAGCATGGAGGTGGAAACATCATTCTTTGGGGATGCTTTTCTGCAAAGGGTACAGGACGACTGCACCGTAATGAGGGGAGGATGGATGGGGCCATGTATCGCGAGATCTTGGCCAACAACCTCCTTCCCTCAGTAAGATCATTGAAGATGGGTCGTGGCTGGGTCTTCCAGCATGACAACGACCCGAAACACACAGCCAGGGCAACTAAGGAGTGGCTCCGTAAGAAGCATCTCAAGGTCCTGGAGTGGCCTAGCCAGTCTCCAGACCTGAACCCAATAGAAAATCTTTGGAGGGAGCTGAAAGTCCGTATTGCCCAGCGACAGCCCCGAAACCTGAAGGATCTGGAGAAGGTCTGTATGGAGGAGTGGGCCAAAATCCCTGCTGCAGTGTGTGCAAACCTGGTCAAGACCTACAGGAAACGTATGATTTCTGTAATTGCAAACAAAGGTTTCTGTACCAAATATTAAGTTCTGCTTTTCTGATGTATCAAATACTTATGTCATGCAATAAAATGCAAATGAATTGCTTAAAAATCATACAATGTGATTTTCTGGATTTTAGATTCCGTCTCTCACAGTTGAAGTGTACCTATGATAAAAAATTACAGACCTCTACATGCTTTGTAAGTAGGAAAACCTGCAAAATCGGCAGTGTATCAAATACTTGTTCTCCCCACTGTATATGAGTAAAAAAACATGAGTGAACCGGCGATTCGCAACGTTTGATTCGGTTTTCTTACTTGCTTCATTAGGATCGGTTTGGGCTCCCGTGGACCGTTGCACTCGCAGCTTAAATATTTGAATCGGGACCGATACGTATCGGTGAATCGTTACATAATCAAACCATATGTCAAACTTTTTCCCTCGTCAATGCATTCTTTCGACAAATTGGACAATATTGCCATGCAAAATCTCAGAATTGCAGCAGCAAAACCAAGTATTTGTGCCCGCATATGTATCTAGAGCTGATTGCGGAGCCGGTTACCCTCTCCTGCAGCATTCACAGGTATGGTGCATATCAGATAATAAGGTGTGAGTATGACAATGTGTTTCATTGTGTTCATAAATAGAATTCTCAATTATACATCCCTACCGGGTTAGCAGATAAGAAATTGGGTTTAGCGAGAGGTAAATGTAGTCCTCTTAATCAGAGCTATTATGCTTCCTGAATCGTTCACAGCACCACTGTGTGTATTAACACAAATACAGTGCAATACTGTACGACTTTATGTATCCCTAGAACATTGTTATGCGCACAAGAGCACAATCATTGCATACATCCTCCACCTACTGCACTATACGACACCAATGCCTTTTGTATTCTTAAAGTACCCCTGAGTGAGCCTCAGAGGTAGGTAGGAAAATAATAGTAGCCATTTACCATCGGAGGGCCAGGCGCTTAATGTACTCCACTCCTTTATTACACACGGAACAGATGAACAAGTAAAACCTGAAAGAGAAAGGAAGAGAGATCAGAGAAAGAGAAAGCACAGGTCACATGCCTATAGGGGAAATCAAAATCAATATTATCCCTTGGTCATCTGGCTACACCCTCAACTTCCATGACATGTCTATGACTTCCAAGACAATAATTATTTACCCTGACCCTGACCGTAGAGCTGGGCATTATAGTGCATTCGGAAAGTATTCAGACCCCTTCACTTTTTCCACGTTTTGTTACGTTATATCTACACAAATGACAAAGCAAAAACAGGATTGTAGAATTTTTTGCACATTTATTCAAAATGAAAAACGGAAATATCACATTTACATACGTTTTCAGACCCTTTACTCAGTACTTTGTTGAAGCACGTTTGGCAGCGATTACAGCCTCAAGTCTTCTTGGGTATGACGCAACAAGCTTGGCACACCTGTATTTGGGGAGTTTCTCCCATTTTCTCTGCAGATCCTCTCAAGCTCTGTCAGGTTGGATGGGGAGCGTCGCTGCACAGCTATTTTCAGGTCTCTACAGAGCTGTTCGATCGGGTTCAAGTCCGGGCTCTGGCTGGGCCACTCAAGGACATTCAGAGACTTGTCCCGAAGCCACTCCTGCGTTGTCTTAGCTGTGTGCTTAGGGTCATTGTCCTGCTGGAAGGTGAACCTTCGCCCCAGTCTGAGGTCCTGAGCGCTCTGGAGCAGGTTTTCATCAAGGATCCCTCTGTCCTTTGCACCGTTCATCTTTCCCTCGATCCTGACTTGTCTCCCAGTCCCTGCTTCTGAAAAACATCCCCACAGCATGATGCTGCCACCACCATGCTTCACCGTAGGGATGGTATTGGCCAGGTGATGAGCGGTGCCTGGTTTCCTCCAGACGTGACGTTTGTTATTCAGGCCAAAGAGTTCAATCTTGGTTTCATCAGACCAGAGAATCTTGTTTCTCATGGTCTGAGAGTCCTTTAGGTGCCTTTTGGAAAACTCCAAGCAGGCTGTCATGTGCCTTTTACTGAGGAGTGGCTTCCATCTAGCCACTCTACCATAAAGGCCTGATTGGTGGAGTGCTGCAGAGATGGTTGTCCTTCTGGAAGGTTCTCCCATCTCCACAGAGGAACTCTGGACTTCTGTCAGAGTGACCATCGGGTTCTTGGTCACTTCCCTGAACAAGGCCCTTCTCCCTGATTGCTCAGTTTGGCCGGGCGGCCAGCTCTAGGAAGAGTCTTGGTGGTTCCAAACTTCTTCCATGTAAGAATGATTGAGGCCACTGTGTTCTTAGGGACCTTCAATGCTGCAGAATTTCTTTGGTACCCTTCCCCAGATCTGTGCCTCGACACAATCCTGTCTCGGAGCTCTGAGGACAATTCCTTCAACCTCATTGCTTGGTTTTTGCTCTGACATGCAACTGTGGGACCTTATATAGACAGGTGTGTGCCTTTCCAAATCATGTCCAATCAACTGAATTGACCACAGGTGGACTCTAATCAAGTTGTACAAACATCTCAAGGATGATCAATGGAAACAGGATGCACCTGAGCTCCATTTCGAGTCTCATAGCAAAGGGTCTGAATATTTATGTAAATAAGGTATTTCAGTATTTATTTATTTTATACACGTGCAAACATTTCTAAAAACCTGTTTTCGCTTTGTCATTATGGGGTATTATGTGTAGATTGATGAGGTAAAACATCTATGTAATACATTTGAGAATAAGGCTGTAACATAAAATGTGGAAAAAGTGAAGGGGTCTGAATACTTTCCAAATGCACTGTATATCAATTTGGTTCTGGTATTTTCTTTAACAATAATTGCATTTTCATAGACAGACTTGAAAGCCAGATCAGTGATTATTGCAAAAAAGCAGGTTAAACTATTTTGATAAAATAATTATTAGTGGGTTTTATGGTTGTGGAAGGCTTATATTTAGCCTAGGTATAATTGTACATGCAGCGTATTGACCTTTAATTGTGCAACAAAGCTTATTTAGAGAAAACGTTGTTTTTTTAAAATCGAAATATACAGTATATCGTATATATCTAGATATGATTTTTAGGCCATATCGCCCAGCCCTACCTGACCGAGGGAATAAAACCTCTTCTGTTTGATAACAATGTTACGCACCTATCTCCAAACATCATGGACTCCTGTAGGCATTGGATACAGGCCTCATGGAACCACTGTTCACACCGAAAACACTGCAGCATCTTCAAGTACCACCTGGGTGGAGAGCAGCCATTAGTGAAAAGTAGTAGTTATTGAATGAGCAACAGAGTGCTACGAGGCATCTATCTGAATGAAATAGAGCTGCTGTGCCTTCATTGAGTCACAAAACCTGCTAATGGATTTTAAAAGAGTGGATATGTAAATGCTATGCTACAGTGTGTCTAGCCAGCACACTCACTCTCCAGGTCCTCCACAGTAGCAATAACACTGTTGGGGATTTGTGCGGTGCTGAGAATCCCACTCCAGCTCTTCTGGGTTGTAGGTAAGCACCTGCTTCATGGCCTGCAGTGCTTTTGCTATAGGGCCCTTTTTGAGAGCTCCCCCTTTCTGTGAAGAGTAGAAACAGCCCTGTTAACATGGTTAGGCAATGGGACAGTGTTCTGTAGGACACATCGTAGCGAAATGTTTTGTAATAGAAAACAAAAATGTGTTTTCTTATTGGACGTGTTCAGGTAGTGCCTCCCCATTTCACTCCATTTACATACGTTCTCTCACGACTGAACAAGACCCTAGATAAACAGTCATATCATATATTATATTAGTCATTTTTGTTTTCGTTGAGCAGGTTGTTCTATCAATAATACTCACCCGCACAGCTAAAGCAAAGATGCACCTCCTGCAAAACCATGGTGACAAATCCATTGAGCTCTCCACCTCTGGCAGGTGGCACTGCTGGTGGTAACCTGGAAAAAACAAAAACAAGAGGACCATGAAAACATATCGCTTGCCTTGGATCATCTCAAACCCAATGAAAATAAATGAATGGATTAATGAAACAGTGCTACTGCCGGCCGCACTTTGAGCCACATCAATGTGTTATGTTTATCTGAAGGTGGCACCCAACCAACTTTAGAAGCTTTTAATTATTTGATCAGCAAATGTTGGGAAGCCAGAGGGAGTGGACTCCCAAAGCAATCAATGGGAGAATCTCAATTACATACTCCTCGCGTCCTCTCCTCGCCTCCTTCTGAAAATCCATTGGATGAGAAAGCCAGAGGTCCCTCCCCTCTGACCTTCTCCTCCAATGGGTTTTCAGAAGGAGGTGAAGAGAGAGGATGCAAGGAGTATGCAATTGAGATTCTCCCTATGACTTTAATTAAGCCCCAAGTAAAAACCAAACCAACGAAACACTACAGCCTGAAGACAGGACCTGCAAACCGTAGACTGCAAATGGGACCTGTCTCTATAAGACAGACATCCATGGAAAGTACTTAGTTTAACGTACACAGGGTTCAGTAAATGATGTTATGAGTCACAGAGGCTTGCTGTGCACTTGCCTTGTCCAACTGAAAATGCTCAGTTTCACTTTAACAGAACTTTAGATGATAACATGATGCAGTTAGGCTACTTTCATCAAGTTGTACACATTGTGCCCACCTTAAGTTCTGTATGTTGTTCCAGTCCATTTACCACAGTTCAAATATACAGTTTATGCTTTTAGAGTTACAGTGTTAAAAGAATTAAAAGAGTTAAACATAAAGTTGTGGAAGTAAATATAGAAGCATATAGAGCCCTGTATACAATAAGCAATGTGATCTCCTCCCACTTAACCATAGTCTATAAAGAACCAACATCCTCTTGTAGGCTATATAAGGGCAAGAAAGCCACACCCTCCTTTAAAGGGTAACTTCACCACTTATCTTTTAATGGTGAAGTGTCAGACTCTACATTAGACTCTACAGTGACTCACCTATTCCACATTTCCCACATATCAGGATCTCATTGTCGGACACCAGCACCATTTCAGAACAAACCGAGCATTTGGGTTCCTCCCCCGGAACTCCAGCTGCATGTTTTGGGAGAGAAGAATAGCATTAGGGTACATTCAATGATGAATATCCTTCAGCTACATGACACCAACATGTAGACCGAACATGCAAGATATTAAATTAGAAGCTATCGGCAGGGCATTACTGACATAAATCGGCCTTTTCGATGAAAAGTGTCATTTAGACAGTTGAAGAGTTTGAAGGGCAGCTAACTCCTTTTGGGAAGTATCTAAATATACCAGTATGTAGCCTACTGCATAGTACAAGTGTCGGCTAGCCAATTGAAAGTGTTAAGGAATACGCTGACCTGAATAAAGGCCTAAAACAGCTTCATGCTGTTCCAGAGAGCTACTGTACAAAATGTTAATGATTTCCCGTTAGGATGTTGTGTAATGCTGTTCAAAGTGGATTACAATACTAATGGCTTTTAGAGAGAGCTTTTGATATGTTGAACCCGTCTGGTGTAGATCCATATTATCAGCAGACATAAATTCATTGTGGATGTAGGGTGTAGTACGTTTGACAGTTCAATAAAAAAAAACATGTGAATTAGTTTAACACTGTGACAACAACAATATTCCAGTCCCTCTTCACTCACCATGTTGGATGTCTTTCCAGAGAACCCAGAATTTTGAATTATCTTCAAAAGTAACAAAGCAGCTCTGCTTGGAGGTACTCACCTGGAATGGAAAAGTTAAAACAGATAGTATGAGGCAGGAGGCAAATCGTGTACGGCAGGCTTATTACAGTTTTATTCCAATAATAGTGTATTACAATAGATTTTCATAAAACACGAATAACAGCTGTGGTCCCTGAAAACTACAGAGAAACCATCACATTTTGTGAATAGCAGTATTTGGGCAGTAAGTATTGCTATGTAAAGAAAATGAGTCCAAACCATTGTGTGGCGGTATACTACAGTATTTGACTGATAAAACATTCCTGTTGTGTTGGGCACTTACTCTCTGGATCTTCCCCAGGTAGTATAGGCCATCAGACCAGCGACACAGGACATACTGGCCCACGGTCAGGCTGCTCTCCAGGTCTGTGAAACTCTGCTCCCTCTCCCTCTTCTGGGGTAAACGCTTGGCCTCCAGCCCCTTCTTCGGCTCCACACTGCAGAAGTCATCTCTGTAGGCTGACTCCAACATGCTGCAGCTGGGCTGTCCACACACTACCACACTTCCTGGGAAAATCAGGGGGTTACATTGTCATTGTGGTAGACACTGTATGTCCTCCTGATCACAACATTATGGATGTTTGGTGGTGGTTGAACATTGTTGTGGAATGTTTGGGTTGTTGATCAAATGTATTTATTATTACATACATAGACAGAACCTGTTGTTACGGTGTCATACAAGGTATTTCCTGAGATTTAAACAGCCTACAAAAACATATTTTAGACATATGCCCATGCTATCATGAAATCCAGCCCTTCAACATATTTATTTTAACACCCCTCCCCTGTTCTGAGGCTGATGTCTGATGACTCAATCTCAATATTGTACTGCGTGTAGATCACAGTACAGCCTACTGGTTTGACTCATCAGCTAACTACAGCCAGCCTACACATTTGAATTTGACTTCTCAACGCAGTCGCAGATTGCAGCACTTGCTCGAGCCAAACAATCGTGCACAGCATTAAAAAGTAGCATGGCTTACAAACTTGTAGTAGTTAGTAGGCTATCAAACGATAGCAACTCTCGAATGTAACTTATATCAAACTGATAATAGACCAGTTGATTGGCTAAGTTAATTTACATCAATAAAATGGGCATATCGCCAGCTCAAACTGTTAAAAGTATTTTCTTCTGCAATTCTGATCAGACACTTTTGCATTTCCTCAACTGGATGTGTTCTCACACAACTTTGCTGGCTAGTCTAACATGCTAACTATCAAATGTAGCTAGTTATAGTAGCAATATTGAATACAGCTAGCTTGGTAACTAGTAAAGTAGCTGCTAGTGAAGTTAGCCTGCTAAACTGTGCTGCAACTGTCAAACCAATGCAATGAAACGTATCTGTTGCTTGTCCCTGGGTATAGAGTATCGCATTTGCATTAGGAACATCTATTTTAGTTTGCTAACTAAATGTAATCTATAATGAATAACCGAACGATGAGATTGAGCACGTTACATATAACAATAGTTTGCGACATAAAAAGTAGGAGATGCAAAACATTTATCAAATGTATCCAGACTTCTTACCGCCTTGATAAACTTCCAATCCAGGTTCGATAAAACTCGAAATAATGTTGCTGCTGTTGAGTAACGTTCCATTAGCGAGGAGTTGTCTCTTCTTGCAAATATGTGTACAGGCGCTGAAGTTCAAACTATGCTTGTCGCCATTTTTTACTTTTTCCCGCGAATCATTTAGTTTTTCCTTAGCTATGTGATTAACATAAACACATCATCATACAGGAAGTTCAACATTTCCTCACTAGCTGCGGATGAACAACATGTATTTTTTCTTCAAATTAGCCTCGTACGTTTAGCAAATCTCTACATGTCTTTTTTATTTTAAATCACATATATTTTCACGCACTATTTGTTATTATGATTATTATCAATGGTAGTAATACTATCTACCACTACTACTGATTACACAACATTGTACTACCACTAGGCTATACTACCCTATTCATCATCATCACCATAATTCTAATAATATATTTTTATAAAGAATTATGATTTTGAAATGCCTGCAACATGTATGTAATATTACTGTTGCATGATTAAATGTATTAATATTTTTGAATGTAATGAATAACACACACAACATTAAACAAATAACATGTTTGGACATTTATGTTCCAGTCATTTTAGAGGTTTTCAAATCAAATTCCTTGAGAATCCTAGGATTCTAGCACTGACGTAAGATTGCGGATTCTGCCCTGTTTATTTGAGCTTACTCTTAAGCAAATGAAAAAAAAACATGAAATCCATAGAAATCTCTATCTATAAGAAGGCTCTGTTACGTCCACAGTGCTGCTGTCTGTTCATTAGGATTTTGCTAATGGAACTATGCTGAAAGGAAATCTCAGGGATCAACTGAGATGTCATTTAGCAGATGAGCTGAGAGGACAATTATTTGGCCAATTCTATCCTTTCTAAAAATCAGTTATGCTATATAACTGCTGCTATATAGAACTTGTAAGTACTGCTATACTCTTGTAAGACTTTTAAAATGATCTTAAATGTTGAAGTTTGAAGCAATCTAAAAGCAACTAATCAAACACATTGTAATATTGTTGTAATTAGCCTGCATGAACCTGTGGATTTTTTTGGGGGGACCAACTTTTTATAGTATTTTCTTTCCTGGGAGGGGTTCACATCAAATTATATTCAAAAAGTACATAGATAAAGAATCGAAAAACAGTAGAAAAAAACATGGACAAAACACCAAACAAACCAAAAATAAGTTAATTCAATGAAAAGTTCTGTCCCATCTCCCCTCACCCTCCCCCCTTCTTAGTAGGTGCTACCTTTTCCTATTCCTCCCTCCCCACCTCCCTTCCTCCCTCCCTCCCTCCCTCCCTCCCCCCTACCTACCTACCCCCCACAGACTCATGTTGTGGACATATCTATGCATAAAACAAAACATCATGGGTAACTCATCTTATGTTTGTACATTTGTTTGTGGGACCACATAAATAAAGTCGGCCTGCACCTGCTCCTATTCAGTTTTAATAATGGTAAGCAAGTAGCTTGTAGAGGCACCCATTTCATTTAATGTGTACATCAAAATCTTCAAAATGTTACCTGAGAGTGTTTGGTACCATGTCTTACTGTACCAATTGTAAATTTTTCGAAAACACTTGAGTGGTTGATATAATCCAGTGTGTTTCTTTTGTCGCTATTCAAAGAATAGATTAAATATACGTACATTTATATGCAAAAAAAAAGCATTAAAAAATACATTATTTGAAGCATGGGTCAGGATTAAGTGTCAACAACACACTTGATGAAGATCGTGTCGTCTTTACAATAGGCATGCTTAGGCGAGCAAAGTTTACCAAGGGGGAAGAAAAGCGGGCAACCACTGGCCACATTCATATCTGAGACAGGCTTTTGGAAGGATGAGGAGGTTAGCTCTGGTCTGAAGGCGTCAATCACATGTTCTCTGTGATTCTGATCAAGCAGAAAGAAGGTGACCTGGAGAGGAGATATACGGATTAGACATTAACATGTCTAACAGACATACTTCACAAGATGGCTGACTCGTTACGTCATTACCTTAATGATGCAGAGAGAAAGAGATGAGAACTAGAACTATAATGACTCGAGGAATTTTTGTTCTTTGTTTTTTTACTTTAGGGAAATATCTCAACTAACATTTCATTTGAAAACCTCAGCCCTCTAAATAAACAATATATGATGTCTGTTACACAGATATTACAGAGAGAGCCTTACCTTGTGCTTGAATGGCCATGAGAGGAGGGGATAATACTCCCCCTTCATGATCACAAAGAAAACAGAGATATGAGTGCCTTTTCCCACCCCGTCACCATTCAGGTACAGCCTCATGCACACCTTGAATCCATACCTGGTTGTGTAGAATGCTAGAAAAAGCAGGACACAAACATGCTGATTCAAACTTGTGCCAATGTTTCAGTGGATACAAATGTTAATATTGGAGGGAACTTGTCTGTCTGTGTAATGTTTCAACAAAGCATCTACATAAACATTATTTTGTTCAAATTAAGCACTCTCTAATGAAGACATAGAAGACTGTCCCTGTGAATTGACTGCCCTTCACCACTGGCTTTTCTGTTTTAGGTGGAGTTGAAAGAATACTGTACCAGGAGAGTACAGGTTAGGTCTATTCCCATGGCCAGAGATGGCCTCCTTCATTTTGGAGCTGAGGTCAGACAGCCTCCAGATGAAGGTGCCGTCATAGGAGACCTCCTGGAGGGCACGGAGGCTTTCTTTCAGGGAGCTGATGACCAGATCTTTCCTGGCCAGTCTGTGCTGTTGCTCTGTCACCTACAGGGCAACAATCAATTCAAATCAATTCAATTCCATCCAACTTTATTCATCCCCCTCCAGGGCAATTAAGAAGTGCATGCATCAACTATCCTCCCAAATTACAGAAAGGTAGGCTGGTCTGGCTGAATATTGAGGGCGAAGGGAGTGCATCAAATGTCACATCTTGGTTGGAAAAATGGACTGTTGACAAGAATGAATTTCGTCTTCCTGAAAAATATCAATTTATATCCCGTTTCCGAAAGCGTTCCTCTCCTACTCTTAGAGTAGAGAGCCTCTTGTCATGTAACAGTACATAGAATAACCCTAACCCCCCTCCCCACACAATGAAACAGATTTCATCTCCAGCAAGCAATAGTTAAGAGTGTACATTTTTTACAGAAACACATTACCAGGTTCTCTCTTCTTTTTGCATTGGCCACTGAAATGTGTCAGCTTAATTAACAGAAAAATGCAATGTCATTTTATATTGTAAAATAAGTTGTCATCTTTCTTCTTAACCACTGTAATCATATGTTCTAATATTTATCTCAAATCAAAACCAAAACATTCTTGAACAGTAAACAAAACGAAGCAGTAATTGTATATTTTCCAAATAAACATCTCCCAGACAGTCAGCTGAAATTGAAAGGTCCTAAACATAATATTTAGTTACGTGTTATCTGACCAGGATAATGGGGCTGAGAATATAAACATGTCTCCGCTTCAGATGATTCAGCTACAATGCAATGTCAAGACTTGTGACAACAATACAATTTCAGAAAGCTCGGCGAGGAGAGAACAAATTATAGAGGGGACCGAATAGATGTATCTGACAACAACAACAGACATCAACAGTTTTCTGTGTGATGTCTGTTGTTTGTATGGGCCTACTGTATTATATGTGGAGGATGTTAATATTTATAACCTGACTATGCCTTCTTAAGAAGATGAAATCTGTTTCATTGTGTGGGGAGGGGGGTTAGGGTTATTCTATGTACTGTTACATGAGAAGAGGCTCTCTACTTTAAGAGTAGGTGTCACGCCCTGGCTCTGGGGACTCTTTAATGTTGAGCCAGGGTGTTAGTTCCTATGTTTAGTTGTTCCTTGTTGTCTGTCTAGATCGTTTAGATCTATGTTGGCCAGGGTGGTTCCCGATCAGAGGCAGCTGTTGCTCGTTGTCTCTGATTGGGTACCATACTTAGGCCTGTTTTGCACAGTTGATTGTGGGATCTTGTTCTGTATAGGTTTGTGTTGGTGAACCTTTAGACTTCACGTATCGTTTTGTTGTTGGTGTAAAGTACTCATTAAAAGATGTACGCCTATCACGCTGCGCCTTGGTCTGCCTCTTACAACGATCGTGACAGAAGGAGAGGAACGCTTTCGGAAACGGGATATAAATGGATATTTTTCAGGAAGACGAAATTCATTCTTGTCAACGGTCCATTTTTCCAACCAAGATGTGACATTTGATGCACTCCCTTCCCCCTCAATGTTCAGCCAGACCAGCATTTTATTATTCTCATTTTCTTCAAGAATAGTGGATGTATGCAGCAATACTAAGGCTACAACTCCACCACTGCAAATTAGGAGCATCAGAAAAGTTACTATCTTGAATGTATTAGCCTACCTTTCTGTAATTTGGGAGGGTAGTTGATGCATGCCCTTATTAAAGGCCCATTTTATATATATTTCCACACTATGAGGTTGGAATAATACTGTGAAATTGTGAAAATTATGATAATGCCTTTTTAGTGTAAGAGCTGTTTGAAAATAGTGTTTTGGTGGGATGGAGCTTTGGCCTGCCTGGTGACATCATTAGGTGGTAAATTAGATAATAGATCAATAAGAAAGAGGGTTCCAAACCTCTCTGTCAATAACAGTTCGTTTTCAGTTGTCCCCTCCCCCTCAGACCACTCCCAGACAGTCCTAGCAAAATTCTTGCTTGAGAAATTGCTCTTTGCTAAGAACCAAGTTTAGTTTATTTTTGACCATTTTAATTGAAAACAATCACAGTAAGGTACTTAATTGTTTTCCAGAAATCTTTTGATATTGAGATTAAAAAAAATATATGGTTGCATTGGACCTTTAATGGTTTTTTTATGAAGTATAATTCAACTGAATTTAGGTGATTCAACTTCTTATTTTTTATTTTTACGGTATGCCCTGGAATGAATCAGCATTATGTCATATAACTGGTCCACAAAGATTACCGTGTGCTCTGACTCACAATATACTGTACCTTTATTTCTAATTGATGAATCATGTCCTGGCTGCTCTGGTTCACCCTCTCCAAAGCCTCCACGCTCAGCTGGGTTTTTTCCACCTCCCTGTTCAGGACAGAGATGATGTTCTCCGATATCTGGACCCTCTGCTGCAGTGTGTCTATCTGCCGCCCTACGTCCAGGAGGATGGTCACCTGGTCATCATCTCGCAGGCTGTGGCCTGCCGAGCTATCCCCTCCGTCCCCTCCGTCCCTTCCATCCGCCTCCAGCTCCCCCTCCGACGGCCCCATGTCCCAGTGGATTTTCAAGTCAGAAAGAGCTTCTCTGAGCTGGGGCAGCTGCTCAACCATAGCCCTGTTCTTCTTGCCTGGGGCAGAAGCTGTCAGTGGGGAGAACTTTAGGTCACTGCTGTTGGTGGTGGTGGCACGCAGCAGGAGCTGAAGGTAGCTGACATGGCTACTGTTCTCATGCACTCTCACCTTCTCTGTGGTCCCCTAAAATACATGGGATTGAAAGACTAAAACGTCAACAACTGTACAGCAAAAGCTTCATAATATGCCACACGGTCTTTGTATTTGATGCACCATTTCTTGTAATTCAATAATGTTCTTGTAATGCAATAATGGAACTATTAGATTACCTTAAATGTGCAACCAACTTCAGAGAAAACACAAGAGTCTTGCCTTTTGGAACCTGGAAGAGGATTTTTCTGTAGACTCAAGACAATTTTGACAATTAACACTTAATGCAACAACAAAAAGTGTTACACAAAAACCATCAGTAGCTATAAAACAAATAACATCATTGGATTTGACAGCCACTACATTAAAAACAATATTTTTTTCAACCTTTTGTTTTTTTTCTCCCCAGGACTGTGACATGAGTGCTTCTGTAAAACAACACACATAAATGCTGAAGATGTTGAGAGAAACAGTAAGATGTAGGCCTACTGTTTTTTTCTTCTTCATGGAATCGATAGCTACACGAGAGATCTAGTAATATACCATTGATTAAATACAGGAAAGGAGTACATTATTCCTATTTTAGTGCAATCAGTAGTCTACACACAGAACTTTTGCAATTGCTTCTTACAGTTAATTTTACACATTTCTTCCCAAATCATGATGTCCTAACCCCTAATGGTTAAAGTGTTCTGAGGCTTTCTGCTCCCCTTCGCTGCGGTCCAAAGCTCTCGGCAGCACCCTGCCCTCCCCAGATCAGTGCTGAAATGGAATATGGGTCAGCAGTAAACACTAGAGACACTGCGGCTTCAGCTGCGCTGCGGGGACCCCTCCAATGTCACGCTGACCTCGTCCCCAACCAAGGTTTTCCACTAGGGACCAATTCTAACTTAATTTGTAGAATTCCCAGCGACTGTAGCCCCTGCAGTATAAAACCACAGGAAACCATACACTGGCTATATATTTCCAGGAGGAAAAACACTTAATACCAGGGGTGAACATTTGAGAATCTCAGCAAGACCTGTCAGTGGCAGGACTTGCAACTCGGACGAGGCAGTTAGTTTGACAGCTACTGAGTGCACGCCTGGAAGTTAATAATTTGGGCCTGTCTTACCTGTAGCTCTGAGGGGCCCATAGAGAGGCAGCATGCGGGGAACACTGACATGTTGTTTGGACAGGCCTTCTCCAGGTGACAGGCCAAGGCCTTTCGCAGCACCGTGTGACCACAGCCAATGTTGCAGGGGATCAGGGCATACTCACACTGCTCCTGGTGCTCATGAAAGAGGATTCAAGACAATTCAGAAATCACAATAAACCAACCCAAGCTCAGCACAACATTTCAGTGAATCAATCCATTTGGAGGATAAACATTTCGATAGCAGTGCAAAGTCAATATCAGCCATCAGTGGCCATTGTCCTCATTAGTTCTAAAATGTATTAATTATTTTGGTACCAATTTAAAAGATGTTGTTGTCTTAAAGTGTTCTACAACAGGACTTTTGCTTTAGCGTAAATTACAAATTGGCCCCTGACCCTGATCTAATTACAGAAGTACTGTGAAAGGTATTAAAATGGTCACATGGTGGCAAAGAAAAAGAACATTCTTAATTGTATCATTCACAAATGTGTAAAACAGTGTCAACACCTCAAAGTCCTTGAGAATACTCCTCCAGGAGCAGCCTTGGTTAGCACAGTGCACTTTCAACTCCACGATCTCCATATTGATGGCAGCATCACTGAATAACGGCAGTAACACATAGGATAATTAAGATCAACTTTCAGTACTTCAATTACTAATTCAGTTCCACTACGTTAAATCACTTTATTCCTCCGAGTTTTATTTTGCACAATAAAGAATAGATTGATTTCTACATATCACACTGGCGCTTTCTTCAGTGCTAAACTGGTTTGAATGACAAAGTTCTCCGGCTGTCATTGTTGTTAGTTGACACAGTTTGAAGTGGAACTGTTAAGGGCTGCTGTGTCTCTACCGCTCAAAAGCAACAAACACACAAAGCCCTTCTTCTCTTTAATCATCATAATAATAATAATTCAATACAACAGTAGCTACTTAAAACTGACTACCAACAATGCACCTACTGTGTAAGTAACAGTCAGAGACAGTCAAGCCTTTGCTTTGTGAGCATACAAGGGAAGATGAACGTAAATATAAGCTTAGTTTCCATTCCACTGTGATGCTCAAAGTATTCACTGTGGCCAATTAACCCAATTGAATCAAAATATAGGAGTCAATAGACTTTTCCAAATGTTCCGTTGTATGGATATGAATATACTCCAGGCCTATTATTTTAGCACAACAAACCAAAATCCTAATTAAACAAGTAAGAGGATTATGGGGTGTCTCTTCTGCCTAGGATGTTTGGAGGAGCTGATGCTGAACCACATTCTGCTGGGCCTAGATCTTCCTTCGGTTACAGTGAAGACCAACATGGTCTCATTTAAAATAAGTTGAAATAATGCTTTTTAACCAATCTAGTTATGTCACGTATGCTGACGTATTAGTTATATGTTACCTGCTGACATAACATATGACTTATCACTATAATTATGTATTGGTGAGACATGTCTCAGTCATAGAAATATAACATTGACTTGAATGGGAATATCTGTTCTAGCCGTTGTCTTTCTATGGTCTCAGGGCATCAGCAATGGACTAATTCACATCAGATAAATGTCAACATGTTCAACGTTGTCAATTCTACAGACATTCTAATTACACCACTCCACTCTAGCAATCTCTTCACATTCAATGTCTTTCTTAAACCTTACATCCCCTGAGTGGAGTAACACCAGAGCAATGAAACAGTTCAGGTTACTGCAATTCTCTGGTGAGTTAAATTGTATGACCTTTCTGCTAAAATCTGAATACAGGCTCTGATTAGAGGGGTAAATTATGTCACCGTCAATGTCAGACCTATGAGTCTCCTGTTTTGGGGAGCTAAAGCGTATGCAATATAGTGCATTCGCAAAGTATTCAGACCCCTTGACTTTTTCCACATTTTGTTACGTTACTGCCTTATTCTAAAATTGTTTTTTTATTTTTATTAAATAAAACATTTCCCTCATCAATCTACACACAATACACCATAATAACAAAGTGAAAACAGGTTTTTATACATTTTTGCAAATGTACTACAAATAAAAAACTGAAATAACTTATTTACATAAGTATTCAGACCCTTTGCTATGAGACTCAAAATTGACCTCAGGTGCATCCTGTTTCCATTGATCATCCTTGAGATGTTTATACAACTTGATTGGGGTCCACCTGTGGTAAATTCAATTGATTGGACATGATTTGGAAAGGCACACACCTGTCTAGATAAGATCCCACAGTTGACAGTGCATGTCAGAGAAAAATCAAGCCATGAAGTCGAAAGAATTGTCCGTAGAGCTCCGAGACAGGATTGTGTTGAGGCACATATCTGGGGAAGGGTACCAAAACATTTCAGCAGCATTGAAGGTCCCCAAGAACACAGTGGCCTCCATCAGTCTTAAATGGAAGAAGTTTGGAACCACCAAGACTCTTCCTAGAGCTGGCCGCCCGGCCAAACTGAGCAATCCGGGGAGAAGGGCATTGGTCAGGGAGGTGACCAAGAACCTGATGGTCACTCTGACAGAGCTCCAGAGTTCCTTTGTGGAGATGGGAGAACCTCCCTGCAGCACTCCCTGCAGCACTCCACCAATCAGGCTTTTATGGTAGAGTGGCCAGACGGAAGCCACTCCTCAGTTAAAGAAACATGACAGCCCGCTTGGAGTTTGCTAAAAGGCACCTAAAGGACTCTCAGACCATGAGAAACAAGATTCTCTGGTGTGATGAAACCAAGATTGAACTCATTGGCCTGAATGCCAAGAGTCACGTCTGGAGGAAACCAGGCACCATCCCTACGGTGAAGCATCGTTGTGGCAGCATCATGCTGTGGCGATGTTTTTCAGCGGCAGGGACTGGGAGACTTGTCAGGATCGAGCGAAAGATGAATGGAGCAAAGTACAGAGAGATCCTTGATGAAAACCTGCCCCAGAGTGCTCAGGACCTCAGGCTGGGGCGAAGGTTCAGCTTCCAACAGGACAACAACTCTAAGCACATAGCCAAGACAACGCAGGAGTGGCTTTGGGACAAGTCTCTGAATGTCCCTGAGTGGACCAGCCATTGGGAAAAGTGAAGGGGTCTGAATACTTTCCGAATGCACTGTAACTCAATCAGTGTTATAAAAAACATTTAATAGTGGATAATTTATTCTATCCAGCTAAAATATTTACATGAATTTTACATAGGAACACAAGTGCTTGAATGCCAGAAGTAAATGAGTAAAGGGGAATGCTTTGAATAACACTAGAAGCACCAATATTATAGAGCCTCTATTTGATTGTGTACCTAGGAATAAATGTAATCTTGCCTCCCTATGTTAGAGCAGTATCCTACCCACTTCAAGCTCATTCACACAGCACTTTGGTGTTTGTGTCATGCAAACTAGTCAAATAATGAAAAGGGGAAATGATATTCACACCTTTATGTAAATATACAGGGACATGGGGAATTCTTTAAGAGAGGTTTCATTTTTTATTCAATTCATCCCATGTTGGGCTTTTTTACAGGAAATTCCACTTATTGAGGCTGCAGTGTTACATCGAGACTGAAAAGGTAACTGTAGCCTACATTTCAAATGGTCTTATGAAAGGATATCCTTTGTGTTGTTAAAGCAGGTTTTTCTCCAACGCTATCTACCTATGTGTACCATAAAAATAGTTTGCCCATTCTCAACTTCATAGAGGCCTGCCATATCATTCCACCCTATCCACTTGTGCCAGCATACAGTGGGGAAAAAAAGTATTTAGTCAGCCACCAATTGTGCAAGTTCTCCCACTTAAAAAGTTGAGAGAGGCCTGTAATTTTCATCATAGGTACACGTCAACTATGACAGACAAATTGAGGAAAAAAAATCCAGAAAATCCCATTGTAGGATTTTTAATGAATTTATTTGCAAATGATGGTGGAAAATAAGTATTTGGTCACCTACAAACAAGCAAGATTTCTGGCTCTCACAGACCTGTAACTTCTTCTTTCAGAGGCTCCTCTGTCCTCCACTCGTTACCTGTATTAATGGCACCTGTTTGAACTTGTTATCAGTATAAAATACACCTGTCCACAACCTCAAACAGTCACACTCCAAACTTCACAATGGCCAAGACAAAAGAGCTGTCAAAGGACACCAAAAACAAAATTGTAGACCTGCACCAGGCTGGGAAGACTGAATCTGCAATAGGTAAGCAGCTTGGTTTGAAGAAATCAACTGTGGGAGCAATTATTAGGAAATGGAAGACATACAAGACCACTGATAATCTCCCTCGATCTGGGGCTCCACGCAAGATCTCACCCCGTGGGGTCAAAATGATCACAAGAACGGTGAGCAAAAATCCCAGAACCACACGGGGGGACCTAGTGAATGACCTGCAGAGAGCTGGGACCAAAGTAACAAAGCCAACCATCAGTAACACACTACGCCGCCAGGGACTCAAATCCTGCAGTGCGAGACGTGTCCCCCTGCTTAAGCCAGTACATGTCCAGGCCCGTCTGAAGTGCATTTGGATGATCCAGAAGAGGATTGGGAGAATGTCATATGGTCAGATGAAACCAAAATATAACTTTTTGGTAAAAACTCAACTCGTCATGTTTGGAGGACAAAGAATGCTGAGTTGCATCCAAAGAACACCATACCTACTGTGAAGCATGGGGTTGGAAACATCATGCTTTGGGGCTGTTTTTCTGCAAAGGGACCAGGACGACTGATCCGTGTAAAGGAAAGAATGAATGGGGCCATGTATCGTGAGATTTTGAGTGAAACCCTCCTTCCATCAGCAAGGGCATTGAAGATGAAACGTGGCTGGGTCTTTCAGCATGACAATGATCCCAAACACACCGCCCGGGCAACGAAGGAGTGGCTTCGTAAGAAGCATTTCAAGGTCCTGGAGTGGCCTAGCCAGTCTCCAGATCTCAACCCCATAGAAAATCTTTGGAGGGAGTTGAAAGTCTGTGTTGCCCAGCGACAGCCCCAAAACATCACTGCTCTAGAGGAGATCTGCATGGAGGAATGGGTCAAAATACAAGCAACAGTGTGTGAAAACCTTGTGAAGACTTACAGAAAACGTTTGACCTGTGTCATTGCCAACAAAGGGTATATAACAAAGTATTGAGAAACTTTTGTTATTGATCAAATACTTATTTTCCACCATCATATGCCAATAAATTCATTAAAAATCCTACAATGTGATTTTCTGGATTTTTTTTTCTCATTTTGTCTGTCATAGTTGACGTGTACCTATGATGAAAATTACAGGCCTCTCTCATCTTTTTAAGTGGGAGAACTTGCACAATTGGTGGCTGACTAAATACTTTTTTTCCCCACTGTATATACAAAGTGCAGTAATACTATACATACATTGTCTGATGTCAGTCTGCTTGTTTCACTCTCTGAGCTCGGATCCTCTTCTTTGCACATCTTGCAAACAAGGTTGTTGTTGTGCCTAAACAACAACAATGAACATATGGGATTAGATGTATAATACCATATACACAAATATGTTAACATATAATTGTAATATCTTAACCTTTAAAAACATAAGGGGAAGGCAAAAAATGGAAATGTAAGCTATATTACATACAAAGACCTGGCTAGAGTGTGATATGAGGAAATAGTTAACTTTGGTTATTAATGAAGATGTTTCACAAAACTTAGAATATAAATAATTGGAATGCCTTACCTCACTAACCAATTAACACAAGCGAGGCAGTAGTGGTGGCCGCACAAAGTCTGACGTGCCTCATTCAGTACGTTATTACAGTTGCTGCACAGGTACCTCTGCTGGGGTACATCATCGCAAATCCCTTGAGGAAATCCAGAAGTATACTCATTTTCACCTGGTGCAGATGAATCACTGTGTAAGTTGTCCTCTGGTTTTAAACTAGACTCCATTTACAAATCACCAAGTCATTTTTAAGATGGTAACTGTCACTATTCTATCCTACTATATGATGCATCCATTAAATAGTGTCAATCTTTGTATCATTTTTGAAGAGAGAAAAATGCTGTGGGTTTCCCCCCTGTGGTAACCCGGAAACACGTTAAAACCAAAACCCCATGTGTTGTGCCAAGCAATGCTAAGTGAACATTTACTTTACAGTGAGTACGCTATCAACTCCAAGCATGGTGTTCAAATGAGGGGTAAACATTTCCAGGAGCCAGCTTTCGCAATGCTGATCTCTCTCCCTCTCTCTCACACACATACACAAACAAACATTTATTGCAGCCTATTTCTCTGAATTTGTGAGGTGGTTCAATTGCATCCACTACCCTCACTTCCGCCAAATAGGAAAGTCCCCGTGCCATAATTTTCATGTCAGTAAAAATGTGTTGTTTAGAAAAATGTGTTGTACAGAAGAACTCAGTTCAGTATTTGAAAATGATCACAATAATGAGCACATTACCAAAACATGTAAACTTTTCATACATTTGTGGCGGTTGTTAAAAAAAGATAATATGAGATAAACACTTGACTCCTCATAAGGTCCCATTAAACTGACCCATACAGTGAGGGAAAAAAGTATTTGATCCACTGCTGATTTTGTACGTTTGCCCACTGACAAAGAAATTATCAGTCTATAATTTTAATGGTAGGTTTATTTGAACAGTGAGAGACAGAATAACAACAAAAAAATCCACAAAAACGCATGTCAAAAATGTTATACATTTATTTGCATTTTAATGAGGGAAATAAGTATTTGACCCCCTCTCAATCAGAAAGATTTCTGGCTCCCAGGTGTCTTTTATACAGGTAACGAGCTGAGATTAGGAGCACACTTTTAAAGGGAGTGCTCCTAATCTCAGCTTGTTACCTGTATAAAAGACACCTGTCCACAGAAGCAATCAATCAATCAGATTCAAAACTCTCCACCATGGCCAAGACCAAAGTGCTTTCCAAGGATGTCAGGGACAAGATTGTAGACGTACACAAGGTTGGAATGGGCTACAAGACCATCGCCAAGCAGCTTGGTGAGAAGGTGACAACAGTTGGTGCGATTATTCGCAAATGGAAGAAACACAAAATAACTGTCAATCTCCCTCGGCCTGGGGCTCCATGCAAGATCTCACCTCGTGGAGTTGCAATGATCATGAGAACGGTGAGGAATCAGCCCAGAACTACACGGGAGGATCTTGTCAATGATCTCAAGGCAGCTGGGACCATAGTCACCAAGAAAACAATTGGTAACACACTACGCCGTGAAGGACTGAAATCCTGCAGCGCCCGCAAGGTCCCCCTGCTCAAGAAAGCACATATACAGGCCCGTCTGAAGTTTGCCAATGAACATCTGAATGATTCAGAGGAGAACTGGGTGAAAGTGTTGTGGTCAGATGAGACCAAAATGGAGCTCTTTGGCATCAACTCAACTCGCCGTGTTTGGAGGAGGAGGAATGCTGCCTATGACCCCAAGAACACCATCCCCACCATCAAACATGGAGGTGGAAACATTATGCTTTGGGGGTGTTTTTCTGCTAAGGGGACAGGACAACTTCACCGCATCAAAGGGACGATGGACGGGGCCATGTACTGTCAAATCTTGGGTGAGAACCTCCTTCCCTCAGCCAGGGCATTGAAAATGGGTCGTGGATGGGTATTCCAGCATGACAATGACCCAAAACACACGGCCAAGGCAACAAAAGAGTGGCTCAAGAAGAAGCACATTAAGGTCCTGGAGTGGCCTAGCCAGTCTCCAGACCTTAATCCCATAGAAAATCTGTGGAGGGAGCTGAAGGTTCGAGTTGCCAAACGTCAGCCTCGAAACCTTAATGACTTGGAGAAGATGGGGACAAAATCCCTCCTGAGATGTGTGCAAACCTGGTGGCCAACTACAAGAAACGTCTGACCTCTGTGATTGCCAACAAGGGTTTTGCCACCAAGTACTAAGTCATGTTTTGCAGAGGAGTCAAATACTTATTTCCCTAATTAAATTGCAAATCAATTTATAACATTTTTGACATGCGTTTTTCTGGATTTTTTTGTTGTTATTCTGTCTCTCACTGTTCAAATAAACCTACCATTAAAAATTATAGACTGATCATTTATTTGTCAGTGGGCAAACGTACAAAATCAGCAGGGGATCAAATACATTTTTCCCTCACTGTAACTGTCTGGTTGTTGTTGTATGCAGAGTGTGAATTACCATGTGACATTCATGTTTTTTATGGGCCTAATAATGAAGATATAATTAAACGGTAAAAATTAATGACCTTTTATTATCTGATTTCTGATTGTAAAAAATTTGGCTACCTGTGCATTCAACCACTCCAAAATAATGCCAGCCTCCAAACAGTGCACTGCATGTGCTCATTTGATTAATGGAAATAGACAACTGTTACAAAACACCAAAAAGTGTGTCTAATGACATTCGGCAATTGCCATAGATTAGGGCTACATTAATTGATGCGTCTTGCTGACAAATTGACATTTTTTGTAGCCTGAAAAGTCGAGACACATGAAACTGGGCCTGAAACTAACTGTCCCAGGAAAAATGGCATGGTCATCCTAACACACACAGTCAATTTACTAGACTAGGCTACAATGTGTATTACCATGAACTTCAAATAGGCCCACCGGTAGCCAGTGCTGTAGCCTAGTGTGTTAAATAAATAAGTGTATCAACTTTGATTGCCGGTCGTGGTGATAAAAAAATGCCCCCCCAAAAACAAATGCTCCCTATACTTTCAATACATTTTTCTGAAAAATATGTTTAATGCGTTTACCCTCCACTAGGCCTACACGACTGCCGGTACCCTACCCTCTCAGCCGAGGCAATTTTACACACATGAACTGTCACGGTTTCGGCCGAGACTGCTCCTCCTCCTGGTTCGGGCAGGCAAAGGCGTTCGCCGTCCCCGGAGTACTAGCTGCCACCGTTGGATGTTTCATGTGCGATTGCTTTTGTCTGTCCGTTTCACCTGTGTCTGGTTTGCGTTGATTACTTGTCCTATAAGTTCCCTGTGTTTTTATGGATTAGTTGTGTGTTGTTTCGCCTGTCGTTTTGTGTTTCGTGTCGTGTTTTGTGTATTTTGTAATTACGCTTGTTTGTGCGTAATTGCGCTTAGTCGCCACCTTGTTTGTTTTGTGGCCGTGCATAGTGTTTGTACTTTGTTCATTTTTGGACTTTAGTAAACATTTTGGACTAAGCCTCGGTGTCCTGCGCCTGACTTCAACCCCACCTACACCTCACATTATGACAGAACAACACACCATCATGGAGTCAGCAGGAGCAGTGACGGCACCCAGGTTGCTGGAGGAACAATTACGATATCAAGACATTTTGTTCCAGCAACTTGAGGCCGCCCTTGACGAGGCGTCCAACAAGCTGAGTCGTTTGGTGACTAGGGAAGTGCCCACGCCATCGCCCACTATCCCATCACCAACGACCAGTCCTCCTCTCTCAGCACCGGGACCCAGTGGCATTCGGCTCTCGCTCCCGAGGGCATATGACGGTTCTGCAGCCGGGTGTCAGGGGTTCCTCCTGCAGATAGAACTATACCTGGCTACTATACACCCAGCGCCCTCGGGATACGAGAGCGTCTCCGCCCTCATCTCCTGTCTATCCGGCAAGGCGTTGGAATGGGCCAACGCCTAATGGAGGAGAATAGACGCAGCTACCATCACCTACGCTGAGTTCTCCCGCCGCTTCCGGGCAGTCTTCGATCACCCACCTGAAGGGAAGGCGGCGGGGGAGCGTCTGTTCTACCTCCGACAGGAGAAGAGGAGCGCACAGGAGTTCGCACTGGAGTTCCGGACGTTAGCTGCGGATTCGGGATGGAATGAGAGGGCCCTCATCGACCAGTACCGGTGTAGCCTGCGAGAGGACGTCCGTCGTGAGCTGGCCTGCAGGGACACCAATCTATGCTTCGACCAGCTGGTGGACATCTCCATCAGGCTTGACACCCTGCTGGCCGCCCGCGGACGTCCCGAGTGGGGGTCGTCCATTCCATCCTCCAGCACCTCTGAGCCAATTCCTATGGAGCTCGGGGGTGCTGGCGCTAGAGAGAGGAGGAGGGAGAACCCGAGGAGGGCCAACCCCTGCACCAACTGTGGCCGTGGAGGACACACCGCGGCCAGGTGCTGGGGAAGGTTTTCTGAGAGAGGGGACAACAGGTCACGCACTGGGGAGTCATTTCAGGTGAGTAGGCGCCCCACTTACCCAGAGCTCTCTGTTGGTCACATGAGCATTCCTGTGCGTTTCCCACAGGTGGCACCTCATTCCCAGCATAAGGCGCTAGTAGATTCAGGCGCAGCTGGGAACTTTATTGATAGGGCATTTTGTGCTAGGTTAGGAATTCCCCTTCGGCCGGTAGAAGTTCCATTCCCTGTCCATGCATTAGACAGCCGGCCGTTGGGGTCAGGTCTGATCAGGGATGTCACAGCACCACTGACGATGACTACGCAGGGGGGTCATGAGGAAGTCATTCAGTTCTATCTGATTGACTCTCCTGCGTATCCAGTGGTGTTGGGGCTTCCCTGGTTAAGCACCCACGATCCTACCATAGCGTGGCAACAGAGGGCTCTTATGGAGTGGTCTGCCCAGTGTGTAGGGAGATGTCTAGGTGTTTCCATAGGGGCGACCTCGGTAGAGAGTCCGAACCAAGTGCCCGCACTGCGCATTCCCCCCAAGTATGAGGATTTAGCACTAGCGTTTAGCAAAGCGAGGGCAGCACGGCTACCTCCTCATAGACAGGGGGACTGTGCGATAAATCTCCAGACCGGAGCAGCTCTTCCCAGGAGTCATGTGTATCCCCTGTCTCAAGAGGAAACTGCGGCTATGGAGACTTACATAGCCGAGTCCTTGGCACAGGGATACATACGGCCCTCTACTTCTCCGGTCTCCTCGAGTTTCTTCTTTGTGAAGAAGAAGGACGGGGGATTGCGCCCGTGTATTGAT